TAAGCTCACCAGTATCGCAATCCTTCCCATAATAACCATCCGCACATACGCAAAGGTAGTCGTTGTATCGATTGACGCACGTTCCACCGTTTTGACAAGGTGAAGTGGAACATTCATCCGTGCTGTCAGAAGGTTTGGAAATGGCTAAGACAAAAGAAAAACAAATCAATACTTAATTCACTTGATAAACTTCATAAATTAAGGCACCGTGTTAAACTGAAACTGGGCAGGGTGATGCTATAGCACTCACCGACAACCATAAAGGATTTAATTATTACTTAGTTTACTTATTTATTTAAGGTGACTCGACCCAGTTTTTTTTTTTTTTTTTTTTTTGGGGGGTACCATCCTACTTTGAAGCTCTCTGGTATCCCCACCTTTACTTTTATCGTAAGTCTAACACATAGAATGGATAACATATAGATCAATCTACAATATAACGTAAAATTTATGGCGATCGGAGTAAATGTCATGTGGTTATAATGCCACGCCCCTTTGAGGTCTGAGTCGAAAATCTGCTGTTGCCGGCATTTTTTCGTGAAAATCGCTCGGCTACACATAGTGCGCATTAGTGCCTTGCGCTGAACAGAGTTTCACCAAAATCGCAAAGACCCAATTCGAGAAATTCAGCGGTTTCCAAATTTAGGTCATAATTTATGCGAAAATGAGAAGCAAACTTTACACGGATTATATCTAATAAACTATGAGATTCATCTCTTTATTTTGGGCATCGTTATAACAGATGGGTCCTTGCAAGTCAGCAAAACAATTTAGGGCCTTGTAAATGTGGGCGATTTCGAGCAAAGCAAACATAGAAATTATAGTTTTCGCTATTTGTTGACGTTTGTCAGCGATTAAGAGTCCTTCTCACGAAAAAAGCATTTTCTTAAAAATTCTTAGTTTTTTTTCCTTCAAATTTTTTCAGGGCCACAATTGATTAACTAACTACCCGGACTCTGAATTTCATGGTCATTGAAAAACTGTGACATTATCTATTATAAGCCTAAACTTTAGTAAACATTGAAGATTTTTAGCGTTTTGGCTGAGTTTGTGCTTTGGGAGTTGTCTATTGTTTCTAGTCTGTCATGATACAGCATTCTTGTTCAGCACGCGTGCAATGACCGCGCTTGGCTGACTTCCGAATGCTCACCCAGATGCTTAATTTTGGTACAGTGAGACAGGCCATCGCGTGATACATAGAGGTTTAACTCACAATTTTTAATCAATTCTCGTGCTTCTTGTGCCTTTGCAAAAAAATCAAGAAGTGCTACACACTAAATCTACTTACTGTTAAAAAATATTATTTTTTCATAGGTTTAATGCTGGCCAATAATTAAACCAACTCGTGACGGGAATCCCTTCTATTTTCTTATACTAAATTATCATATCTCGATGAGCATTCGGAAGTCAGCCAAGCGTGGTCATTGCACGCGTGCTGAACAAGAATGCTGTATAATGACAGACTAGAAACAATAGACAACTCCCAAAGCACAAAAACTCAGCCAAAACGCTAAAAATCTTCAATGTTTACTCAAGTTTGGGCTTATAGAAGGTAATGTCACAGTTTTTCAATGACCATGAAATTCAGAGTCCGGGTAGTTAGTTAATCAATTGTGGCCCTGAAAAAATTTCAAGGAAAAAAACTACGAATTTTTAAGAAAATACTTTTTTCGTGAGAAGGACTCTTAAACGCTGACAAACGTCAACAAATAGCGAAAACTATAATTTCTATATGTCTGCTTTGCTCGAAATCGCGCGCATTTGGAAGGCCCTAAAGCGTTTTGCTGACTTGCAAGGACCCATCTGTTATAACGATGCCCAAAATAAAGAGATGAATCTCATAGTTTATTAGATATAATCCGTGTAAAGTTTGCTTCTCATTTTCGCATAAATTATGACCTAAATTTGGAAACCGCTGAATTTCTCGAATTGGGTCTTTGCGATTTTAGTGAAACTCTGTTCAGCGCAAGGCACTAATGCGCACTATGTCTAGCCGAGAGATTTTCACGAAAAAATGCCGGCAACAGCAGATTTTCGACTCAGACCTCAAAGGGGCGTGGCATTATAACCACGTGAGATTTACTCCGATCGCCATAAATTTTATGTTATATTGTAGATTGATCTATATGTTATCCATTCTATGTGTTAGACTTACGATAAAAGTAAAGGTGGGGATACCAGAGAGCTTCAAAGTAGGATGGCACCCCCCCCCCCCAAAAAAAAAACTGGGTCGAGTCACCTTAAAACACTACTCACTCAGTGGGCAGCCATACACTTCAACCCTCATTGTAATATGTGAATTCCAGGTTTGCGGTCGAAATCTTAGATACATTGCTTGGAACGCATGAACTTCATTACGAACCACTGTATCTTGGTCTGTGTTGCCCGTTAGAGTCTGGAGAGAACAAAATTTAATAGAAGCAGACTTAGATGTTCCCCTAGGTAATAAGTGCTATGTCCACCAACTTTCACCGTCACTAATTAATATAATAATTAGCTATTATTCCGTTTCTCGTTTCTATTCAACATGAATAACAAACCAAATGTTGATACTGTAAGAAGAATCTTGATAGTGACAATAATTGTGAGACACAATAGGATTAAGCCCCTTACGTCTGGATAGTCGGTCCAGGTCGATCCATCGGAGCTGTATTCGAGTTTGTATGTCTTAACCCACTGAGCAATATCTGCCATGCCTTGAGTAGCTACCCCTGTAATCTGGTAAATCTGGCTAAACTTGATCTGCAGCCACTGATTTAAGTCGTTGGTTGAAGCGGACCAACCGCCAATTTGAGTAATGCTTCCCTGAGAATCGAAATGTGTTTGGTAATTTAGACGACCCCCCAATGGAGCATACTCTGTGTCTAACTGGCTCGAGGCTGTCATGTCATCGTCAGGAACAAGACGACTGGTAGACACTCCAAGGCTTTTTAAACAGTCTAAATTGTATGAAAAAGTTCAAAGATTACAAAAACATTGCTGATATTGATAATAATTTATACAACGCCAATTTATAAAGCGCTTCACATTCAGCACTATTTACAAATCTATTTACAAAAAAATTGAAAAAGAAAAGGTTCAAGTTGTTTTTTGAATGGTGAGGCTATTACTAGTTACTATCCGCGTGTGCCCAAGTGTAAAGCAGATGATTTTTGGAATGAACAGAAGAGATTGTGTAGATGAGTGAAGAGCATTATAAGTTTCTGGCTTCAAAGACTGAATTATATAATTGACGTAGGGTGAACTTAAGCTGGTTAACTAACCAGCTTAAGTTCACCGACTTTTACGACTTTTATTTTACCGACGTTCACGACTTTTATTGTATGGGTACAATAGCTGTACGTGCGCTCTGATTGGCTGCTAAGCGGGTAAGATTTTCTTGCAATGGCCGGACATTGCTAGCTAGGTGTCCAAGGTATATACTATTTGTGTTCAACTTGATAGTCGACAAACATGTTATGGACAGCTGTCAAAAAAGGTATTCTCTGTCACTGAAGTGACGTGTTTTTTAAAGTCATCTGCTGACCAATTATTGGCTTTAAATGGTCTCAGGTTCAATTATTTCTGGTGTGTTTTTTTTTTTACATTAATAGCGCTAAAAGGCCATATAATAAATAACTTATTAACCTCGTCAGTTCGGTTAATAAGTGGTAGATAAAAAAACCCAATTCCGTTCTGCTTCTTCTGACTCCGATTCCGTCGAGCTTATGACTCAGCCTACAACTCCCATTTCTGATTTTCACTAGGTCATAAACGCTATTACGACCCCGATTCCGACTCTGTCGATAGTGAAAACCAGCCTTAACACTGGATTATTTTAGAAACTGGACACTGTGTCTGTCTCGAAGTCGCTTCCATCTTTCCGTCGTTGGTCTTCAAAAAAAAAAACAAAAAAAAAAAAAACACAGCAAACGGCAATGAAGATTTTTAAGGTAAGTTTGTTGTCAATGTATTCACACTTAAGAGAGACGGGTTATCCGTTGGATGATTCGCGTCAGACTGATAATACGTCTTCATTTGAAAAAGGAACAGTCTCAATTTTGGATGGACAATCTGTCTAACTTTATCTATCCGTTTTCCGTCAATTTTGATGGATTTTGATGATAGATTATCGGATAATCCGTCTCTAATTTGAAAACGGCCATCGACGAAGGGTTAGCTCGTTAATTTTCTCTGGCAAAACGTCTCGAATTTTCGTCTTTTCAATTGTGATCTGATCTGCGTTGAAATTTCAAACACTGACTAGAATTCTCTTCCTCTGTAAGGTTATATTCACTTTCTTCATCAGCTTCGTTCTCATCAAAACAAAGTTAGGTTAAACTTCATTGGAAGAGCGAATTCAACATCCCAGTCCTCGGGGTCTACAAACACATTTTAACTTTTTTACTCATTAGTTTTTCGAGATAAAAAGATTTAGAACTGCAAAGTGACCATTTAGGTTTAAAAATTTGGTCCGTACAGTAAGTTATGGACCGCAAATTGACCAATAGCAGGGCGAGAACAGACTTAGTAATATAAAAAATTTTGTCAGGTACTTCATACTTACTCAACTCGAAGAATCTGGAATTGGAGGAGCTTGCTAGCGCACTGGTAACGGTTGATTCTGTGCTCATGTGACATGTATTGGTTGAGTTGTCAAACTCAAATGATCTACAGATAAAGGATGCTTCTGACAGGCAAGACGATGCACAGGACTCCGGATCGGTGTTGTCCACTACTTTGTTATCGCTTCCTGATATGTAGGACTTATACGTTACATAAAACTGGCGTTGCGCAGCAGAAACTGTTGGGGAAATGTACATCAGGATTATTTTCTTAACGCCTTCATTATACACAACAGGTACCTTAAGCAGTCGCTGGAGGCCGTTGAAGAGGGGGAAAGGGCCGTAAAGGAGTGGGTCGAGACAGCCACCCATTTTTCGCGAAGTTGGAAACTCAAAAAAGCTGCGTAGCCGACGCGCCTGCCAAATTATTTTGGTTTGTTTTTGTTTTCGTAGCTCATTTTGACTTAATAGACGTTTTTCTCAGTTTTAACAAAACTTAATGTCAACCTGTTGAGAAATATGAGACCTCTTAGCTGCGGCAGCTTCGAAAATATCATAGACGAGGATGAATTTATTGTACTCTACGAGTTGGACACCTCCAAAAATTCTGATCAAATTGAATGTTTTACCTTACAATGATTATGTCCGATTCTACCCTGACGAGGTGGATGCTATAAAGACTGACAAATAGCATTATATGGTATATATTTCTACAAAAAAGAGTCATTCTAGTAAAGTCCCTTTCGATTCACAGTAAACGTGTAGTTTAACTCACCCCCTTCGTCTACTTGTCTCTCAATCTCCCGGTTTGGCTGTCACTATGTTTTAATTAACACAGTTGTTTACAGTTGTAAATTCAAAATTAATCAAATATTTGCTTTTGTAATGCAAAAGACACGGCTAATGAACAAGTGTTTGTCTAAATGAGGAAAAATCCTCGCATTTAAAATAGCAAAACGTGAAAGATAAATTGCCGTCTGTCGGGGCGGTCAAACCAACTTTTCTCACCTCGCCTAACTGAGGTCGACTCGAGCTGAACATCAAGTAAATATGCTAATTCGCTCAAAGGCGAGAAATTGGCCTTCTCCGTGTCGCCTCCAGTTGTTGCTTAAGGCCTCTAATCACAAATCAGGCTATTACTCAGTTAACTGCAGACGACTTCCGATAGCTCGAACCCTCGCTAACTCGAATCTCGCAATGACTCGAACCAAAATTGATTTCCCCCTGGATTTCTTTCATAAATATACTGTAATACCCTCTGTAACTCGAACCTCAGGCTAACTCGAAGTAATTTTTGTTTCCCTTCAGATCATTTCTATAAAATTTTACCCTCGATAACTCAAACAATATTTTAAGCGCGTGAGAAGTCAAAAAAAGGTGTACTGCAGTCCGAAAAATTGAATTTATTTCAAAACAACCGTGTTTTCTTTGTCCCTAGCCCTGTAACCAAAGCGTGAATTGATCAAAGCGAATGTTGAGGGTCCATGATGAGTTGAAGTGTGGGTGGCACTTGTGTTCTTTTCCCATCCTATTTGCTTATTTCCTTTCTTCCGATTAATTGCTTCTAGCTCCCAATCGCTCGAACTTTTTTCGATTTCCCTGATGATTTGAGTTGTCGGGAGTCGACTGTACAAACGTGAGATTCAACCTCCAAAATGCCAGTTACTGCTAACGTACAAGTGTATAAGAGAAGAAGAAATCTACTTTTCCTTCATGCATTGTAATGCCAATATCTCATCATGTTCTTGATGTAAGTACAAAAAAAGAAAGAAAAGAAAAGCGTTTACTTACAGTCACATGCGTATGACTTATCGGTCATGTGATATTCTCCAAACAGCTGTTCTTTAAAATCGGCCCATGCGGCAATATTCCCTTTCACATAGTCACAACTATACACTAGATTGTAAATGTCGTTAGCGGACAGCACGTAGTCGAAAACGTTCATCTGACTAACATCGCCAATGAAGTTCTCTTCGGTATTAAATCCACCACCTAACTCGTCTTGCTCTTGGCCAAGAATCAACACACCACCGCCTGTTATAACTTGACCTTGACGGAAAGGCGCAGACGATGCTTTAGTTTCCACACCATCTTTGTACGCATGCCACGTGCCACCAGCGCTTTCCCACGTGATAGCCACGTGATGCCACTGGCCGTCGTTAGCTCTCAAGCCTGTGAATACAGTTTGGTTGTTGACGAATAAGACGAAGCTTGCGTAGTCTTGCAGAGCAAAGGCGTTGTCTTGCACGACATCTCCTTCTTTTGTAGCATATGATATCACGGTTCCTGACTTTGTGTCACTAGTCCGCATCCAAAAAGCAACAGTTATGGCATCAATGTCTGGAATTGTTTTCTTTATCTTGGAATATGACTTCACCGCTCTTACTTGAAAAGACAGATCGTAGTCCGACGAGAGAACTGAAAGAAAGTAGCCTCAAAATAAAAACTGTAAAAATGGTACAATCTCTGCGCTACTGTCGATAGTGAATGGCTTAAGATGTCGGCAGGAATTTGGAACAAGAACGTAGAAAAGTTGTCTCCCGTGACATCACTATACTATCACTTTCGTAGTCGGATGAGAAAATGGAAAGAAAGTAACCCCAAAATGAAAACTGTGAAAATAACACAATCTCTGCTACTGTCGATTGGCTCGAGGTGTCGAAAGAATTGACAAAAAAAAAAGAACGTACGTAGAGAAGTTGTTTCCTATGCGATCGCTGCCATCACTATAGATAACCTTTAGAATTAAAGCGATTAAGACGATTGTAAGCAGCAATTGTCTTCGAGAACCATTTCGACTATAGCACTGAGGTCGTTGAACTTTTTCTTCAGCGATTTCTCACCGTTTCCCCAGCTTTAAGTTAACCTGTTTGCAACTTGACAAAAGGTATGTTATTATGCATTGACATTTACCTTGAGTACAGCGACATCCATAATATGTAGGCTTGCACAGGCACTTGTAACCTGTAAGAGTATTGACGCATATACCACCATTTTTGCATGGCTGTCCTACGCACCGATCAATAGCATGCTCACAGTTAGCTCCAGTATAGCCTGTCGGACACTGGCAAGTGTAAGATCTTAAACCGTCCACACACGTTCCGCCGTTCTTGCATGGTGCGGCAGCGCAGTCATCTATGTTGAATTGACAATTGACGCCACTGTATCCTGACTGACACTTGCAAGTGTACGATTCAAAGCCGCTGATGCATACACCATTGTTCTGACAAGGATTTGAAGCACATTCGTTGATGTTCATCTCACAGAACGTCTCACTGTATTCGACGGGACATTGGCAGTCATATGTACCAGCTTTATCTATGCAAACGCCGTTCACACAGGGTGTTCTTTGATTACAGAGGCTATAAGGAAGTTCACACTCATCTCCAGTGTACTCGTCAGGGCAAAGGCATTGATACGCATTGACCTACAAAAAAAGAAATTTAAAGGAAACAAATATACAATGTTTTTTGAAGGTGGCTTACGAAATGTTATGAAACTCAAACTATTCAGGTCATCAGGAAAACACATTGTGAAATACCTTATTGACACAAGTAGACGATTGATAACACGGTGAAGACACGCACTCGTCTATTTCCTTATCGCAATTGTCTCCGTTGTATCCATGCGGACAGTCACAGCGATAGGATTCTTTGGTGTTAGCGCATGTGCCACCATTTATGCAAGGGCTGGAAACACAGGTGTCCACCTCTGAAATCGGATAAGATTATTTAGTTACGCCTTAACAATATGCTACAGATAGCTGAGCCCTTCCCGAGGCGGTTGCTTAGAAGTTCGTGTGAAATCAAAATGCACGCGAGTTGCAAGTTCGGCTGCGTAGCAGTCACTTCCACTTCGTGTTATCCAAGCGGGAAAAGAGCGTGGCGTGGGTCAAAAAGGAGCAAAAACTTACGATGCCCCCCCCCCCACCGCTTCTTGCTTTTTCTTCACACTTGGGCGTCTGGTTCACTTCTCTCGCCCGACTAAAGGAAACGGCCAGAAACGACAGCAGCTAAGCAGGCTATAAGCAAGTGTCGCGCATCATATATTTCGCCACACCGTAAATGAAATAGCGATTCGAAAGACGTCATTTGGTCCTTCTTATCATGAAGAAAAGGATGGTCATTTATCTGACTTCAATCCTAGGAGTTGACGACGCCTAACAAAAAGGGATCATCGTACGTTTCTGGGAAACTGCCTACCTAGCCCTTCCTTAAGCCAACATTTTTACAAAAAGTCTCTATGCTGACTCCCAAAGGCGTAAGCTTTTTGGAGGGCCAGCGAGGAATGGACAGTTTGCTCTTATTGCACCTGAATTGCACGGTTTTTAATTACACATCACCTGTCATTTATCCAGTGCCAATAATAACTGGATGATCTATTTTAGTTGCGGATTGATATTATTACTGACGGAACAGAAGAATATGCATGGAAAAAATGCGGAATGACGCTGTTTGCGATTTTATTAGTCTCGTCACATCGTTTGTTTTAAATTCAAAAAGTTATCCAGAACCAGTTAAGAGAAGTGTTACCTCCACAAAAATCCACCGAACTTGCCCCAGTACCATGGGTAGATTCTTGTCCCGGACACGGAAGACAGGCAGTCTGCCCAGACCCTGGTTGATAAGTACCAACAGGACACGGCGAGCATGGCTCTACCCCGTTGTCTGAATAAGTTCCTGCAGCGCATTGCACTGGATGAAGAGAGAAAGTAACAAAGAATTATTGAGGGAGATATATCAATAACCTCATATTCTTTTGTGACGCGGTTTCTAGAATAATTAAGCAGATAACTATTATGAAACTGACACTTTGTCTGGTCATGCAATTAGAGTCTTTAAGCTACCTTTATGACAAACTCTTATTCAGAGGATAACTTTGATAAGCAGACGTCGACGCCCATTTCTCTTTCGAAAGCAAGCGACATCTTGCAACGGTCGATGTCGCATGTGTTTTCTTCAGTGGTAATGAGACATTTTGTGCTCGACACTAGTGTTAATACTTCCATCAGACTAACCATTTGACTATATTGGAGGTAGCCTCCCACGCAGACATTCTTTTGGATCGTCGTGCGTTTCTTGGTCACGAACGTCTGAAAACATTGCGTGACGTAGTCCTAACAACGTCTGTATGGGAGGCTATATTGGAGGCCCCCTTATCCCAATTTGATCTGTCTGTCTAAAATAAACTTATTGCTTTATTTTTATGACTAAATTTTTAATGCACTTACTTCCACAATCTTCAATTCCTTGAGCTGCATCAATTACAGTAGAAGTGCCATTTGGACAGCTTGTGCAGGCTTTGTTTCGCTCATCCGAAGAGTACGTTCCAATAGGACAACGGAAACACTTTTCTACACCAGTTGAGGAGTAGAAACCCGGACCACAATTATCTAAAATTAGCCAAAGCAATTGGAAAAAAATTAGTCATGCTCCGAACTTCGTATCCTTCTGAATTATCTAAACTCGAATTTTAACGTTAAGAAGGGCACCAAAACTAGCTACTGTAGTAGCAATAAAGAAAGTGCCTCCACGGTTAACTGATAATGCAACCATCCGGCTCCCAGAACTGCCAAGGATTTAATCAACAACCTCCGTTAATGCGTATTTTTATTAAAGTTCAGATATAACGCGCACTCTAATTGGTTGAAAAAGCATGCTTTATGAGGGTTTAAAACAAGGAGCTCAGTAAAGCTGCCACACCATCTGTGAATTACACCATGTCGCGGTGGTTTTCAAGTTACGCATTTAAAGGTTAAAAATACACTGTTAAAAGACACAAATGGAAAGGGAAAGTTCCAAGGAATGCTCAGTTTTCTTTTTGTAGACAAGGAACACTTTTGGTTACGAAAATGTCCTTCGAGGAATTCAACGATGTTTGCTTCACAGCGGAGCCCAAAATGTCCTGTTTTGAAAGTCATTCAATGCCGCAGAATTTTTGAAGACTTTGCAAGTACCTTTTTTACTCTATGGTCAAGAAAAATTACGTTTTTAAAAGGGAATTTGTGTATGTATAAATGTTTCACAAACGTTTATAAATTTTGTCATCGGCGCTTAAGAAAAATGGCAAAATGCTCCCCAATTTGAGGATGGATTTTGTGTTGAATTTTGCCATGTGCTCATCTGTTTTTCCCCGCTTTTAGATTAACTGTCTATTTTTTGAGTTTGTTCATTCGTAACATCATCTCAAAGCACGACCGCGAAACTACAGCATCACTTTCTGCGAAGACGTGGGCGAATTATATAGAATTTTTACTTTCAGGTTCAGTTTTTGGGCACTTTTCAATACGAAGCTAAAGTGGTTTCTTTTCAGATTGTCATGGGCCGCGATTCGGATCGGTCAGTCACCTTTAATGGCTGATTTTCGCACTTCTGCATTCAAATTCACAGAATGATTCATCCGTTTGTTAATTTGACGTTTTTGATATGCTTTTTTAAAAAGTGTTCAACGATGTCTTGACACTGAGAACAATGCCGTAACCTGTCATTCAGCTGTGAAAAAGAATTTTATCATCTGTTCAAATACCAAATTCAAATTTTTGCCATTCTAAAAAAGATTTAACAAGAAAACAGTTGGCTAATTCCTCCTGGTGTAATGTTAAAGAAAAGAAGTACATAAAGAACACAAACACCGGCCGGCCGACCGACCATCAAAGAAACAAACCCAAACCAACTAACTGGCTAACAAACCAGTCGACCGCCAAACCGATCGAGAAACCAGGTTAACTAAACCAATCCATCAGCTAACTTCCCAACTTGGCAGCCAATCAATAATCCAAATTACCGCTCAACCAACCAAACAAAACAGCCAAAAGCCAACCACTCTAGCCCAGCCAGGCAGCCAAAACGCCTGATCCAGCCACCCGCCCAAACAGCCTGACTAAGCCACCCAGCCAATCACCTTGACCAAGCCAACCAACCAAAGTGCCTTCCCCCCCCCCTCTCAACCTAGTTCGCCTGGTCTAGTCAGCGTGTCCATCCTGATTGACCCAAACCACCCACCCACTCTATCAGTCCCATTAAACCACCCTCCAACCAACGAGCACCCATCTCATGTTTCAACCTGCGAAAAGAACAAGATAAACAAAGAAAATTTGCTTTCCAAAGAGCCACCGGAAACCAGCTATCTCATTTACTTTGTCAATTAATGCAAGCGAACTCTTTTCGAGCTGAATTCCCAAGAACCATATTCATGTTCAGAAACAGACAGAAAATGTAGCCGTCGCTTGTTAACTTCCTTCATAAAACGTGAAATAAGGAATTTTCCCGTCGTAGTAGTACAGTGGCGGCAAAGAAATGTCAAAAAAGCGTGACGTACGTGCAGAGATGTTGTTTTGCCTATTCAACCTAGTGCTTTTTTTGACGTTCTCGTTGTCGTCGCCGTCCTGACATCTTAATGTCCCTACAATTACCTGTGCAAGACGTGAAGTTTTCTTGTCTTGTCCCTACAGTCCAAGTTCCATCTGGACAGGATTGACACTGCAAGGCGCCTTCGCTTGGACTGTACGTTCCCTCCGGACACAAAAGACAATCATCTTCATCACTATCGTAGTACGTCCCAATTGGGCAACGTGCTACAAAGAGAAAATCAGCAGTTTGTCCATGGCATGTAGTCAAGATCAGATGATACTTCTTTAAATGATAAATCGTCTTAGGTTTTTGTGACGTCGCTCAGTTTGTTTATACTGTTTACTCAAAAACTAAACACCTTGAATATTATTCAAGGAAAAAAAATAAACAATTAAGAATAGTCAAAGTCCATTTAGTGTAGATGAAAATATGATAATTATCAACTACATTTCTCGCCAAGAAATAGCGGTTTACGCCTTCTATTCCACGTTGAATAGCTACCAGTGTCCGCGAAGAGTAAAAAAACACAGACAGCTCATCGAGCGGAGTGAACGTTACTGTTTACGGAATATTACTTACTGCATTTAGTAACAGTTCCTTCCGTCTTAGTGCACTGGCAAGGTGGAGAGGCACAGTTGTAATCGGCCTCGTCACATTTCCTGACTACTGCACCATCTGCTGAACAATACGCATCAACCTCACCAAGGTTGAAATTGTCAACGTCCTTATCTTTCAACTCGAGTCCAGAAGACGCTTGGAATTCACCCCAGTCAACAGTCGCGAGGCTGTTGTAAATGCCGGTCCTTGTTTGGTTGGCCTTTCCTTTCTCCGTGTTGTAAGCATCCTGGCCACCCTGATCATTGGTCCCTGAAGTGAGGTTGGTGTCTTTGAAGACGTAATCATACCTGATGGTAACCTTGTAATTTACAGACGAAAAAAATGAAAGAGAGAGTTATTTTACATAGCAGCAAACATAATCCTTGTCCTACTTTTCACTTGGGGAGAAGGATCACAGCGAAGATAATGATGAAACATGATTTTAAAAGTCTTAATAAAACTGCAATTTCATAAAAATTTGTTTAATTAAATCTTTTAAGTGCAGAAAGCGAGAGCAGTATCTGCGCTGAACTCTTGGACAAAAAATTGTCGAAAACTGTAGGAAATTGTCACAGTGGTAATTTGTTTGAAATTTCAAAGAGTGCCTCAGTTCAATTCTTTTAAAAATCAGTACAGCAAGGCATACTATCTTTCAGTGCCCTTTTGTTAAGGCACCATTAACCGAGAAGACCTGAGGACAAGGTTGAGTTGTTTTGGTTGAGAAAAAAACTCTCGGAGGGTGTTATCCACCTCGGCCTTCGGCCTCACTAGATAACTCCCTCCTCGATCTGCTTAATTCTTCATATCCTACTCAGCCTCATTCATTAATTGCTAAATAAAACGTCCTTATCATCAGACGGCCCAGTTGTTCAAAAGGTGGATAATGCTAACCACAGGATTAATCTCTATGCTGTGGAAAACACAATTGGTTTCTCTGACATCATTTTTCAACAACCAAGGCCTGTAATTTTTGCCAGGGATATACATGCTGTCCGTATCATCAGGGTGTCCATACATGTAATAACAAGGTGCTTGCAAGGCCACAGCACAGATGACTACTGTATCACTGAATATTCAGAGCTGAGCTAGCCAATCAAGAGAGCACAATTAGCAATACTCACTGGCTTGATATTTATACTAGTTTTGTAGAGGTTTAAGGGGAAATACATAAATCGGTGTATACCGCCATGGTTGTAGATCTCCTTCGCCTCCTCTCCGCTGCAGTAACATTTCCGCAGTAGACTTGTACGGTGTCCGTATTGCACTCGTCAGGGTAGTAGCTTGCGCAAAACAGAGGTAGAACTGGCCCGTAGACCATTAAGTTAATGAAGTTTTCCTTAATTTCTGTCTGCGTGTTAGGATCATTGCAGTCGCCGTCATAGTAGAAATACGGAAAACTGGCCATTTTGAGATTATCAGGGTTCTCTGTTTCTGGTATGAAGAAACGGGAAAAATGCAATGTGTTACAACCAACGACCACCTTTTGTACCAGGTTTTTTCTGGAGAATCGGAAACAATTCAGGACAATGGCAGAAAACAATTAACTCCTTAGAGTTCAAGAAATTAGACGCCGATGACAATAGTTTCTGAAATAAAGCATATCATTGTACACAAACATGCAAGTGCACTGATTCTTGTCAAAATTACGACGACTGTTAAAGACGATCTAGAGACAAGAATGTCACTCAGATCTGGTTTGATGAAAGATGTAAGCGTCTATTCACCAAAGCGTGGAGCTTTTTCTGAGCTAGCGGATGAAGTCAATAGTAACGTAAATTTTGAGGCGGATTAAAGGTGAAACACAGTCTAATCGGACTGAATGTTACTCCCGCTAAAAACGATTTGGAATTGACTGACTTCCGCGGGAGATGTTATCTTCTCTGGTCTGAATTTAAGCTCCCCACCTCTTCAACCGTAGTGTCCTCGTTAATATTGCTATAACTCCTGAGCTAACATTTTTAAGCAAATTTTTCAATGTGCTTGTCTTAAAGAGAAGTTGACAAGTTTTCTTTAATAAACCCCTCATAAAGCTGGTTTTGCCATCGTTTGTGATGCACTGTTTGAGACTGAAGTGATGTTAGTTTGTAGTGCAGTATGAGCCAGTCAACATAATTTCTTCCTTTTAATTGTCAGGAGGTCTTTAAATATCCTGCGAATACAGATGTATTTCTGGTCGCTGCTTTTCTCCAGCCGGGTGTTCGCAGGCTAGTCTTTACTCTGAACTTTAATTTTGTTGCGTTGTTGTTATTGTTTGGTGTTGTTGTTGTTGTTGCTGCTGTTTTGTAGTTGTATTCCTATTTTTAGGCAAGCGGACTTGGGGCGACAAAACAAGCTTTTGCGTTTTACATTTTGGGTGTACAATTAAGGTCCGCAAATTGCCAAATAACAGTGACAAAAGATTTAGCCATACGAAAAAGCCATCAATGCTACTAAATCCTTTATCGCAATATACTTACTTGCACAGTCTGGCCATGGTAAAATAGGATCATAATATGCAATGGAGAAATAATTCCATTCTCCCCCCGAGCAATAGTACACGAATGGAGGAGTGTAGACAAAGTCATATCCACTTTGACACTGTACAGAGCAAGAAGGGTCCGATCCAATGTAGTTACAGGTAAGGGCGCCATTGTCGGGTGGTTCGTAAAGTGGACACTGTTTTTCTGCAAAACATGGTGAGTAAAAAGCGTTGTAACTAGGGCCATATATCCATATCAAAACATTGATCATAAATCGGCCAATTAACAGTCATAACCACAAGGAGGAAGTCTGTTTTGGTTGTTCCTTAGCCAAAAAAAAAGGAGAAAAGTTATCTAAAGGTTGAAATGTCGGTAGCCTTAGAAAACAGCCGAAATTTCGCGATGCCGCAACTGACAACACACGTCTTAGGAACTGGCACAGAAACTCCATACTGATAACGTCTCACTGCTCAGGTCTGGGTAGTGGTTCTAATTGGTCCTGTCGAGAGGGAAATTTGCTTCAACCAATCAGAAGCACTACGGAATTTCTGCAGTCGTTCCCTAGACGTCATTTCGCAGGGACGTTTTCTCATGTTAAAGTGTTTGTGGTCCATTTGGGTTCGTTTGGTCTCTCAGGAAAAGACTGTTAATGGAAGCTGTGAATACACATGAATACAAATGCATAGTTGAAAGTTCAGGCTAAAAATTGCGTTTTTCTTTCTTCTTTTTTTTTCATACAACAGTAACCACTGGAGGTGTTCCCACAAGGAAGCAAGCATGACGCAAAACTGTATCAACACTTTTTGCCTTACACAATTTGCTTTCTCCAAAAACCCGGCCAAGGCCAGTAAAATACTTACTTTCTAGAGTAATTCTGAAGGAGCAGTTCTCGTTCTTGTTTAAATATGTGTCAGTAGCAGTGTAGGTAACTTCATAAGAACCTGGCACATCAAACAGATCACCCTTTTCCCTGTTGGAGGAGATGGCGGGATTTTTGCCTGAGTTGTCCGTACAGGTTGGACTGTCCCAGTTTACTCTGATTGTGGTCTCAGTCACGTTGTCGATAACAATATCAGCCGGACAGTCCACGCAAGTCGGTGGCTCAGTATCTGACATAACAATTGAATATAGAAATTCTGAAATTTATGAGGGAAGGTTGTTTCATGAAGGTTTGTACTGTCGCACTTTGTAATACCTGTCGCACTTTGTAATAAAATTGTCACACTTTGTAATAACACTTGTCGCACTTTGTAATAAAAAAGCTGTCGTACTTTGTAATAACAGACCATCGCACTTTGTAATAAAAAAAGGTGTCGCACTTTGTAATAACACTTGTCGCACTTTGTAATAAACTTGAAATAGATGGTCGGAGGACAAGTAAACCCAGTAATAAGTGTCATCATCGACAACAACAACAACGACAATAATAATAACAAAATATTTTTAAAGTTTTACTACCAGCACAGGCAACTAGAAAACCTATGATTTCGTTACCTGCGAGGTATTACTTGAGACATATACAGAGATATTACTTGATTCGTATTTATTACCATGAATAAGCTATACTGTATTTCATAAAACCAAATGAAAATCACAAACTCAGAGCCCAACCCGGTACCACAATCATTGTCATCATCATCATTATTGTCACTATTATTTTCGCACTAAAATGTTCTTTAAAACATTGCATATCACGTCATTGTGCCACGATGACCACTACTAATGAATGTTGTGGAAATTTCGAATACGCTGGAACCTACATGAAACGGCATCATTTTGATAAATACACAAAACCAGTGTTAGATCTGGATATATTTAAAGGCTACGTGCTGTGTACAGCTGAACATTGTTCTCTGAGATCGCGTAAACCTAAGCTTTACGGAGATATTAAAAGCAGATACCCTAAGATTACAGCAGCTATGGAAAAATTATTATATTTTTGAGTAGACAAATCTCATAAACGGGCCACAAATTCGACATGAATACGCGCGAACTGAACAAATTGTCTGTTGTACATTTTAAAGGTTCTGCTCAACTTACACAATTTTCCCTTGCTGAACATAAACTGTACCGAGCCGTATCTTGGTCCGTTATATATAAGCTATATCATGGTTCAAATTTTAAACTGTAAGATCCCTGAAAAGTTCTCCTCAATGGAGCAATATGTAAAAGGTTTTCAAAGGTTTCACGCCGGCGAAGATGTGCGGCCTGTCACAGCTTGCAAGTTTTTACTTTATTATTATTATTATTATCATTATTATTACTATTATTATCATCATTATTGTCGTTGTTGTTGTTGTCCATGATGACACTAATTACTGGGTTTACTTGTCCTCCGACCATCTATTTCAAGTTTATTACAAAGTGCGACAAGTGTTATTACAAAGTGCGATGGTCTGTTCTTACAAAGTGCGACAGCTTTTTTATTACAAAGTGCGACAAGTGTTATTACAAAGTGCGACAGGTATTACAAAGTGTGACAATTTTATTACAAAGTGCGACAGGTATTACAAAGTGCGACGATTGTTACAAAGTGCGACAGTACAAGGTTAATTACTGGAGACTACATTCGAGTTATTCAAGTTTAATAACAGCATTGCAACAGTATTGCTCTGAGAGTTCTTCATGGAAAGACGCCCGTAATTCCCAGTGAAAAGTTGAAAATTAGGCTAAAATTGAACACGACGGCTACTCGGTTTCTAATAGGAAGTCGAGTATTGTTAACAAGATCTAGGAACTAGCCATTACCAAAGAGGAAAGAATGTAAAAAAAATGACCCCTTAAAGGAGGGTGGTCAAAATTCCAGAGCATTAAAATTGATCAAAATTGAAGAAGATGACAAGAGATTGCAACTGAGTTACTGGAAACTTTTAAGCCTGATACACTTATTTGTCGTGGAGCTCTGATTTTGTTATTAAGAAGTAGTTTCTTCTCTAAAGTTAAGTTTTGTGATTAGTTTTCTCAGCAGAAAACAAAACAAAACAAAACAAAACAGAACAAAATCGATAAGACTTCCACGACGATAGTTTCTTAGAACACTTACCGATGCAGCGGACAGAAACATAAGCAGAATCAAGTAAAGTAAGGGAGTGAATTAAAACAAAGTATGAATCGTTATTAACTAACCTGAAACTTTCACAAACTAAAACAAAGTATGAATCGTTATTAACTAACCTGAAACTTTCACAAAAAAGGAGCAGGTCGCAGAATTTCCTGCAGGATCTGTAACTGTGTACTTGACAGTGCTGTCTCCGATTTCTAAAAGCTTTGGGAGATTTGTATCGACATTAACGTCATTGATTGTCAACACAATGGTGAACGAATCTTCAGTTACTCCTGGTTCATTCTCCGTCAGCGAGTTGTCGGTAAAGCCAAAGACCCACGTCACAGTCGACACGTTTGTTCCTGGGTCATTGTCTGCAGTTATGGTTTCCCCCGCAGAGCAATTAATTGTTGGTGGTTGCCAATCTGACCACAACAAATATATATATATAAAAAAATCAATCAGTCAAAACAAGAAGCAACCTAATCGATGTTGATGAATCTGGGACTAAGTCGACTATCTCTCAACGGACATTTCTTAAAGACGGACACCTTGGTAAAACGGAGACTTGGAGATGGTTTCTGTCTTTCTTTACTCCCTTTATTTGATTCTCTGCAAGACAGGCATTGCTCTAAGACGGACACATCCCAAAGGTGTCCGCCTTAGAGGGATTTGACTGTATTCATTATCTGGAAGAAAGAAGGAAGTGAGGAGGAAATAGAGGGACTCCAGGAGCGAGATAGTTAACTGTTCTTAGCAGACTAAGATAGCTTCCCCACAGACATCTCCGTGATTTGGCCTTAAAACGTCTATACTGGAGTTGGCAAACTTGGAAATGTGTTATATCGCAGTTCAATTTAAACATGAACTAAACATTGTTTAATAACGGAAGCGAGCATACCTAAGCAAGTTGGTGAAGATTCTCTATATTCCCAAGTTCCATTAACTAGACACACTCTTGTATCGGTCAAGATGCTTGTTGACAAGTAACTAATGTGATATCCAGATGGACAAATAAGCGTACAGCTGGAGTCAACTGACGACTCTGAGTCATCGCAAGTTGCTGGGCTGTATGAACCGACGCCTACCGTGGATAGGGCTGGACACGTGATCTCTATGGTAGTAAGTAACAAAAGTGGATTAGACGCATGACGCTTGACACAGTCACATGAAACTTTTTAGAATTTTACCGAGCTAGTTAGTAGTACTTCTCATGCGTTCCGATTGACCCACTGGCTCGGAAGTGAATATTTCAAGTTACCTTCCTCCAAGAAATTATTGAGTAGACGATAATTTTCCACTGCGTATATTCTCAGAGACTACAGAAATAAACTCAAAATTTTTGCAACCTCAAGTGGATTCAAGAGCAGCAGATGAGTGGTTTCACTGCAAAGTTTTCCTGTGCACAAAAAAGCTTCCTACTTAAATCTCGAATGCAACAGCGAAAGTATCTCTTAATAAAGCGAATATATCCCTGCATTAAATTTCCATTCCAACCCACCCAAAACATGAGTTTCATTGTCGTCTTGCAAAGGAGTTGCGACACTGATGGGGGAGGAGGGGGTGAGTTGGAAAGCTGGCTCGACGGTAGCTCGACTGCAGCACGACACTAACACGACTCGGTTTCAGACGTCGAATTTAATTCAGTCGAATAGAACGGCTGTTGCCGAAAACAAAACACAAGAAAATAAAGAAACGATTTAGCAAACTTTTAAATGTATTCTAATGTATTCATAAATTATGAATTGAGTTTGGCACGGTAGTAGCGCGACGTTTGAAACCAAGTCGAGCTACTGCCGTGTAGCACGGCAAAGCTTGCCGTACTTAAGTCGAATTTATTTCGATCTATTTAGTTCGGCAAGGCAGTAGCACGGCGTTTGAAACGGGCCTAACCCGTTTAGATTAGGCCTTTTGCAATAGTTGGTGACGTGATCAAACTTCTGTAAACACGAAATTAGTTTGCTTTCGGAAAATTCTGTTAGGAGGAACTGAAAGAGCATGTTAACATTAAGTAACCCGAGCATTTTTAGCCGTATATCTCAAAAGGTTCGATTGCAAAGGCCGCCGAGAATTGGAAGAATTTGTACGTCAAAAACAACTCTTGCCACCTAGTGACGCTTGAATGGTTTTCCATACAAATCCTTGTAAATTTCAACACTTAAGGGCTCAAATTGCCTGTTATGGGCATGAATAAAAAGGAGATTTGAGCCCTATAATGCTTCAAGAAATATTTTACGTCAGTTTGAAAATTTCCAAATTTACAAGGGTTTGTATGGAAAACTACTCACGTGCGACAGGGTGGCAAGAGTTGTTTTTCTCATACAAATCCTTCTAATTTTCGGCGGCCGTGGCGATCGCTGCTTTTGAAATATACGGCTGAAAATTACAGGTCACCTAAGTTTAATATGCTTTTAAGTTCCTGCTGACAGTATTTTTCAAAAGCGACCTGTTTTCGTGTTTACAGAAAGTTGATCACGTGGTTAAGTAATGCAAAAAGGCTCCTAGACTGTTTTTTTGAAGCTTCCGTCATCGTTGGCTTCACGATGACAGACTGTGACTGTCAAGAAAGTTTCGGTTTTCGCGTTTAACCCATTTTTTACAATAACTGAATTATTTCTCGCGCGCTGTTTGGCTAATGTTTATGATCGATAAGACGACATACAAGTAAAATTTTAATTTATGCAGGACGCGGTCATTTGCCGAACGAATGCCAAACTTTCGATGTTTTCCGGGCTTTGGTCTCGTAGAAGATTCATCTTCTGTCTAGTAAGAAAAAATAGCCAGATAGCTCTGATGCAGTGGTTGCACCCTGCTTGGATTCTCAACAAAAAGCTCAAGCAGAGCTTGAGAGAGCAGATTAAAAGCGGAGACGACTTGCTTGAAATTGTAAAGCTTCAAATTACGATTCAGACAAGCTTTTAATATTCATACATTAATTACGCTAGTTTTCTTTTGACAAGTAGTGAGAGTGTTTTTCTGATCCTTTTTTCCGAAAGCAAGACAGACTATTTGTATAAACCTTGGGAAACTATGTAAGAATCTGGTAAGTTGAATTGAAAACATGCACATAAAACCCACCTTTCGGTTCGATTGTAGATAGTTCATATAGCTGAATGGTGTTCAGCACACAAAAAAAGACTTGAACAGAAGTAAACAACAGGTACGCGATTTCTGTTCGTATCGTTCGGTTAGCAACTTTTCAAAAACTGCCTTGCTGGTTAGGTCGCTTCGACTCAGTGTTCGGTTATTTCAACGGTCCCAGAATCTTTCTTTGGAAAAATTATTGACCTTTAGCTAGTTTAAGACTTTTTATACAACCCCCAAATGCCTCCATTTTTCGAGTCAATAAACATCGCTGATCTCATTCTTGTTCTGAAGTTTGGAAAACAATAAATTCCTAATTTATTCAGGAGAGTGGCGTGACTCAAAGTTTAAGCCAAAGAAACTCCGTTACTTGGCTTCAGGAGCCAATCACCAAGCGAGAAAAGATATTGACAATGACGTCGCGCTGGTCCAAAAAAAGGCATAAATTTTGATGTGCTTTCTTCATTTTTACCGGCAATTTGGCTTTTTCGAGCTTTTGTTGGGGATCCACTCGCCTGCTTTGACGACATTTTATCATCAATAAGAGAACAGAAACAAATAAAAACTGGCGTAAATTTTTTAAGTCGAACATTCGTAATTTACAACGATGAGAATGGCTGGAAATTAGCATAATATGCTTACCGTCGCAGACTGGAGCAGAAGGATACCACGTTTTGTCCAGCTGACATGTGATTGTTTCACTTCCTACTCGTTCAAAGCCTCTGCGGCAGTAGTAGCTACACCTTGTTCCGTATGACAGTTCGACTGTTGTACAGTTACCCGTGGGTACTTCAGCGTCAGGCACAGATTGTATTGGGCAGCGTATCTCTGGAAAAAAAAAAACAACACAAAAACAAGTTAAGAATTTAACATAGTAAATTACACGTGCTAGAGTTAAATTAATATATAATCGGTAAGAGAAGTTTCTCTCTTCCAAGAAGGTATTTCAAAAGAAAGTTTCCCTGCCTATAATAGAATATATTTCAATAAATTTAGCTAATGTTATGATGGTGTTTACGAATCATTAAAGAATTAGATTAGTGGCACTTGCGGATGATGTAGTGGACTGTAAACAGTCCCCTATTTTTCAGTAAGATCATCGAGATCGAGCGCCTTGCGTTACGGGCGGCCATCTCAGATGAGTGTCAATGCACTCAGGGGGCGGAGGACGGTTTAGGAGGAAGCGAGAAAAATAGCGGGGCCTCCCATCCCCCTCTACCGCCGCTACGAAGATGACCACCCGTTCCGTAAGCGCTGGATCCTGACGATCTTCACTACGAAAAAGTAGGGCACTGTGAACAGTCTAATGAACTCGAAAAGAGACAGAACACTTTGTTGTCAAAGATCAAGTCTACATACCCAAATCTTTTCGAACTTCACTTCCACCTTACTACAGAAACAAGTAGACTGTTTCTTCGCAGACGCGCGAAACAGTTGCCTCTGCAGAGAAACATATTTGAGGGCTTTTCCATAAACAAACAAGGAAGGTCTTATATCCGTGGTAAAGGCGTAGACGATAGCTTGAGATGTGTAATAATCGATTCGATTATAGCTGAAGGTGGGGATCCAAGATCAGGGTATTTTGGAGGGCAGTTCAAGTTGCTTTGCGTGGATAGACGTTGCATTACATGTAGTACTAGTAGTTGATTCAGGAATGCTGGGGATTGAGGGCCATTTAATCCATTTTAATTCCCACAATGTGCGTACCGGGTTGCCGCCAAGACCGATTTAACTTTGAGGGCGGGCCAGGATTGTCTTCCTGTTGTATTCGTCCAGTGCTGCGATTAAGCTAACATCATTTCCCGGAATTTTTCTTTTGAAATGAGCTTCAAGCTTTTTCAGGTCCAGGTTAATTTAACGCCAGTTCTCAAAACCCTGAGAAGTGAGATAATTTATAACGACCTCTACATTCACTGATTAAACGTGTTCGCTTGACACTCGAAAAAGAATTAGTAGTTTGAATTTTCAGAGCCGATTTCATAGCCAGACCGTTTTTTAACTTTTGAAGGCATTTCTCTGCGGATTGAAGCCTATTTGCTGCGGAGGAGACAGCATCCTTTTAGTCCTTATGCTTGTTCAAATCACCACAGAATCTAGAAGAAGCGCATGGATGTCCTTTATAGGGGCAGTTAACTCTGTTATGTCCCTCTCTGCGGTGGCAATTTGTACACGCTGGTCTAGTATAATCGAAACCTGCATGTTTTCCGTAATCATCTGAGAGTCTTTCCAGTTCCCGCTGGAGTTCGGTTACTTTTTCGCTTTCTTTCTCCACCTCAACCTGCTTGTCTTGTATTAAAAGATCTAACGGCGATTTATATCATCAGAAGAATTGACTGTTAGTGTTGCGATTCCTTCGCTACTGTTTGCAGATTTATCGGGCCACGCGTCAACTCGTTGTTGTTAGGCTGATTTAGCAACAGAACGGGAACGTCAGTTGACAACGGCGCGCGCAAATCGAAGAACTACCTTGACCAATGGCAGAGCGGCAAATTGAGCACCGGAAGTCGTGTTTAGTCCTTTCCGCGCGCTTTCCCGTCGTCAACTGACGTTCCCGTCCTGTTGTTAAATCAGCCTAATGTTTATGTGGTGGCGACCTGCTGGTAAACTTGTTGTCCGTGGAGAAACATTCACTAGAGCCTAGCGCACTCATTCCAGCAACTGAAGCCGTTGAAAAATTAGATTTTTCCACATTAAATATTACAGCCGCTTTTTGGATTCTGCACCTGTGACACCAGCTCAGTTTCGCCGATTATCTCACGTCCTGTAATTTCACGTCGCTTGATGGATATAATTTCTGGAGTTGATTCTGGCTGCCACTGGATTTTGATTTTTAGCCTTCTGAATGTTGTACCAGACACTGGTTGGGCACATCTTAAGGCATCGTGAAGCGAATCTCCAAGGCGCAAGTTGACGAAAGTATCCTCATCGTCCTTGTACTGAATCCGCAATTCTTCATCAGGAATAAATTGTAAACACTCTAATTTATTCCTTACGATTTGCATGAGATCATCGAAGCTAGACACCTCACTTTCGTACGCTGTAATTAGTTCGCACCGATCCTCCGGAAAAGAAATATTGTAGAACACTTTTAGCTGGATCATGTTGTATTACTTTAGTGTTGATCGAAAGCGGATAAGGGACGATACATAGCCAAAGCGCGGGCAAAGAAATGCGAGGGAATGTTATCACGTGCGTTTGCGTTTGGAGTTAACATCTCTTTAGGCACGTGACCAAAAACGATCACCTTTGTCGTTAACAGCAACTGTTACGTACGTCTGCGAAAAAGCAGTCTACCTGTTTCGGTAGTAGTTGACTTCTAAGGGTGAAGGGCTAACAGCTTAACGTCAACGTCTAGTTAACGTCTACTTGACGCGATCATTCCGAAAACGAGACAAGGTCTGAAGGACCGCCAGCATGATCTAACTAACTCACAAGGGTTTCAACTCGCGAATCTTCCCCTCAACAAACCGGTACTAAAGGAAAGTCCTGGGGAGTACTCAATTATACGCTTCTGGGAATCTGCCACCTACCTCTCCCCTAAGCCAACATCAACACTTACTTCTCATTTACGGCAAAATGTTGGCTTAGAGGAGGGGTAGGTGGGCAGTTTCCCAGTGTTTGAGTATAGCGAGTGAGCCACTGAGAGTATGAAACCCTGACCATGCTTAGCTTAGGGCAAAAAAAATCCTTAAACAAAGTACACATACGCCCTGTTTAGAACAACTCCCTCAATTTTTTTTACCCTATTTCGGACAAAGAACAAAATGCTTGCCGTCCTTGTTTTACAGCCATTTATTGGCAATTGCAAAAGAGCAAATTCACTTTATATTCATTTTGCTTTTCTATACTTGGAGTACAAACAGATTTCATCTCGCAAATCAAATCAATCACGCAAGCAATACCCTGTTTGTAATTTGGACGGAGTCGCACGAAATGATATACCCTGTTTTCGACAGAGAGGACAAAAACAATACCCTGCAGTCTATCGTCACCTCCCTGTATAGCCCATAAAAGAAAGTATAACCCGCGGGAAAAAAAGAAGGCCAACCTAGCGAAAGTCAACTCGATAAGCTTACATATAAGCTCTTTCTGCAAGCCGCAAAACACTTACCTTCACATGTAACGGTTGTGCCACTCCAGTCCATGATATCTTTGTCCGTAACTGTACATTGTCTGGTCTCGTTTCCCAATAATTCGTAGCCCTCGTCGCATTGGAAACTGCATTCTGACAGGTATGTTCTGGAACACGTCCCCAATATTGAACCATCGTCTGGAGCTGTCAGTGCTTCGCAGTATCGGACTGTCAAGACAAATATACTGTTATCAAGCTATAGAGCGTTTTCACTCACGGGGCCAGCATCTGATGCAAAGTTGTTAATTCCTACAGGACTAGCATGGAATATCTACATGGCCGCCGTTTCACTGTTATGGAACTAGAAATTTGGCCACCGCGACGTCATGTGAAAACTCTCTATAGTATCAAACATGTCCAGTTAAACATGTTTTAAATTCACAGACTATATCATTATGCGACCAGTCGAAACGACAGCGACGCACACGTCTATAAAACATCGACTGCAACTTGTGTGTTTTCTACCCTTACAGGAAATATTCTCCTTCAAAACTGGACACTAACTCACCCTAACAAGCGACCAAACAAAGGGCTGTTGTAGGGCTCATGTAATAAACGACCCTAACTGTAATAACATTTTTCCCTAAATGTGATAGTTTATTACATGTTGCCAATTATCGTTTTACTCGAATAAGTGCCGCCCCCGATTTTGCTCCGCATTTGAGAGAAAAAAATTATAAGCGTTAATCCAGACTAAGCGCCGCGACCCTAATATAGAATGAACAAATAAAAAGACAATAATGCTTTTAGGTTAATAAGGAAAGTAATAATTCTTAGTTCTCAGGTGACGTAACAAAAAATCGCAAGGACTTTGAAGGTTCTATCTCCATGTAGCAAAAGATTTCTTCTGAAAAAAGAGCATTTTCTAATTTACCAACTTTACTCCCCGCGATATTAATATGGCGGCCGAGAAGGCCGTCGTATATGCTAAAAAATAATTTTATCGCATGATATTATGCCCTTTGAATGGTAAAAGTATTTAGCAAATGTGTTTAGGGGAATAATTTAATCGTTCGCAGTGAACAACTGATCAAATTTGTGGCGATGCTGAAACCAGATGTTTGCATTATTTCTGACCGCCATATTTTTGCTCCTCGGAGGAGCACAAATATAACGTCGCCATTGAGTGAGCCCTATAAATTTCTGTTACACATTTTGAAGAACAACTCAGCAGCGGAAAACTGCACAGACATGAGACTTGGCCAGGTTGTTAATATATCTATATTCGATTCTATAATATCTGAAATTCTTGGCCTCAGACATTCCACTCTTTTGATCTTAGTTTTCGACGGCGTTACATTGAAAACCACCAATACCGTAACATGACAGCCATTTCAACGACGTGTTACTTACGTTGTTAGGGAACTTAAGCAACTACGACGACGACCACAAAGACAATTTCAAAAAACAATAGGTTTAATGATCAAAACAACAGCTCTGCACGTGCATCACTCTTTAAGTTCACTTCTTTGACGTCCATTGCTCGACTACGACGTCAAAGCTCCTAATTCAGTTTGACATTTTATGGACGACGTGGACATACGACGACGAATTTTCCTTCCTCTTTTTGAACCTGAATAAGATCCATAAGAATTCACGTTTTGTGGAGGACGTCAACACAAGGCAACTACTTTCTTCTTCTTTTTCTGAACTTCGATACTGTTGATTAGAATTCAACTCCAGAAAGAATTGCCAAGTTTTGACGAACTGTATGAGATAGAATAAGTGCGATAAAGTTTGAAGCGGCGCGACTTCACTTTTTAAGAGACGTTTCCCTAGCCGTCGCCGTCGTTGTTGCTTAAGCTCCCTATTGATGACGTTAGCGTAACTTCAAAACATTAAGGCCTAATGTTATCATTCTTAAGAAATTTATTACATTTAAGGCAAAATGCTATTACATTTAGGACTTTATTACATTTAGTGCCGTTTATTACATTTGGGCATTCCACAAGGGCTGCTTGTGATAAGTCACAAGCGTATACATGTATATAAGGTCTATTTTCAGGGGCACCCAAAGAGGGTTTCCTCCCAAATTCATTTGATACACTTTTTTGTTATCCAGAGTATTTTTAGACCTCTAGAAATGCATTCTAAGTGGTGCTATAAAATTTATATTTGTTCGGTCATCCTAAGGGAACTTGAGTGTTTTCGAAATTAGAAGGGCTTCAGTATTATTTTCCCGATGCAATTTAGCGCATTACGAAAAAGAAAACTTTTTTGATTTCTCTCTCCATCACATTTTTGAATCCGAAAATTTTAGGTTTCTTTTTTCCTGCGAAAAATAGCCTAACCTGGGAGGTCAAATGTGAAAATCAAACTTCAGAAAATCGTAGGGAATTTATTAGATAAGCTTCGAAAATTGTACAGGAATTGAATGGGACGGTCATCTAGAGATTTTTAGCCTTCCTCAAGTAATAGAAAATTCTAGGCAATACTTGCTTCTCCAAACAAATATTTCACAGAAAACAGTCGTTGGGTGCCCCAGTATTCTGAAAATACCTGAGAAGACTTTCTCATTGTCAGTTTTCAGTACAAGCTGCTATTAACCCATTTACACATGAACCGTGCGTGGCGATCCACGTCCCTCGTCCTGCTAATTTTAAAATTCCTCCGTTACAACGGTCATAGACAACTCTGACATTGTGCCAGGGAAGAAATCTTTTAAACCATACCCGAGTGAGCACGATTTGGGCGAAAAAGAAAAAAGAAAGCCTGGTAAAGTTGATCCGAAAACCCCATACAGCAATCTTGCTGGACTACCCACTTGTACTCCCTTCCATACAATGCTTCCACCCTTAAAGTTTTTCCCAAAAAAAGATGATGATGTTTAGCATCAAGAAGAGAAGGCAGCATAGTGCTTGACATATGTTAATAGTGTTGACGGTAGCTTTGGTTCTTGTTGCCACGATAGTGAACAGAAATCGGTTCGGTTATCCACATAAGGCGTTAATATAGGTGGTATCTTCATTACTCAAGAAACGTAACGAAAGGGAGAGATACCTGCCTACATTTCTATCAACCTCAAAGTTGAATATTGTGTCAAATAAACACGGCCATTTCTTACTTGTGCAGTCGTCTCCATTATGTGGGGTCCCAGAATATCCAGTGAAGCAATAACAATCAGTTATTGATGTACTTCCAGAGAGTGAGTGGCCGGAATTAGCAGGGCAAGCTGTGCAAGAATCAGCATAGCCAACAAAATCCTTGTACTCCGACGCAGGACATGCTGTCAAGCAAAACAGAGAATAAGTTTTTATTTTGGATTTCCGTGGGAGGTTGCCTGCCTCGCAGACGCTCTAAACCTTCTGTATGATAGATGAGTGCGAGGGCGGGCTGCAACGCAGGCTAGTGGGAGTGAAGTTGTTCCCCAATGTGCCCACCGAATTTACGAATGATCTCTTTGTTTCCATCGGAGACTCAAGGGAAGAAACCAAAACAAAAGGGGAGAGGAGCTCTCAGTGAAGAGGTGTTTTTTTGTGGACATCAAACGTACGCATTTCTTTCAGTTCATACTCGGGCATTGCAGAAGAAACTACTAAAACATTTCGAAACGACAGTAGCCTTTTCAACTTAAAAAACGAAAAGAGAAAGTCTCAAAATAGACCATAAATTAACCAACATACCGGGAACGAGACATAAAAAAAAATGGAGATCGAAAGAGCTTATGATTATCTTTTGTAAGTTAATGTCAAGAATGAAAAAATTATCAGTACACCACCAGCAATGTTATATTTCTATATTTCATCTCCAAAACAAATTTAATGTTCACCAAACTAAAGGTTACTGATAATCGAGCCCATAAGTATATTGTAATGAAATTTTGCGAGAAAGCGTTTAAATAATTATTAATAATTAATATTGAATGAGGCTGAGCATGACATTATGCAGATCTCGGAGGCTATCATCCACCTTGAACGGTAATTTTCACATCATACGAAAGCGAAACTCAATAATTGTTTTGCTATTCATTCAAAATAGTCTAGATCGATCTAGACCCTACTTCAAATATATCGCTTGTTTCTCCGCACGGTTTCAGGAGTACTCCTAAAAAAGCAGAGAGCATCCAGCGAGCAATATTTCGGCCATCCAATTTCTCGCCTCCATCTTTCAAATATGGTAAGCTCGCGCTGATTGTGAAGAATTGGCCGAGAGACAGTAGCCTCGCAGACAAGGAAAAAATAATTGTTCTGGTCTTTTTTATCATACTGTAGCTCAGCTGGTAAAATTAATAATAAATCATATTGATAATTGATAATAAATTGCCAGTTTCACTCTTCACTTACCGTTACAATCCCCGACGACCCCTGAGCCGGCAAATCCCTTAGGGCATGCGCATTTGTAGTCTCCGTACACTAAACCGCATGCACAAGCTGCTAGAGCGTCGCAAGTGTTATCGCATTTGTCAGCATCAACATCTTGTGTCTGCCATAACTCTTCGTAAGGATCTGAGTTAAATTAAAAAAAAATACTATTACGATAAAAGAACACAGTCATGGGAACAGGTATGACAAGGATTGATAAATCTCCGGTCGGCATCACGAAGTGGGAGCGATTTTTCTAAACCAGTCACAGACAGGTACGAACCCTTGCCGAAGCCTTGCACTTGACCATAATACAAAGCGACGTTGCACATGGAAAATCTGAAAGATGCGTGGGAGAATCTCTCTTATCGTTTTGGCTCCAGAACTAGCTAACGATAGTTATAATTTATTACGTGAAATTCGACGAGCTAATAAGACAGTTGCTAACGAAGACGCCTTCTTCGCTGACTTAATTCATTTCGAAAACAAGCAGAGTGCTTGGGCCCCTGTCTCGTAAAATAACGATACACCAGTTCCAAAAAAAAAAAAATATAGAAGCGCCTTGTAATCGATTACAACGCGGGCATCCCAACTCGGTCACTATATGAGCGCTTGGGAATACATCTTGAAATATTACGTAACGTAAATGGTTGTAGGGTTCACAAGGGAAACGTAGAAATAAAAAAAAAGGAAAAATTCTCTTTATCTTAGATGACTGTGGGGGAAAAAATTACATCGCCCAAAATGAGGCGACATCATCCTGGACTTCAAAGTGTGAAGCGCGAAAATTAAACTTGTTATAAATGTATTGTCAGACAGCCAGACAATAGTCAAGAGAAAATTGCCTGAAAATGACCAACAGCATTCGTTCTTCGAGCTTACGACTTTGATTCCATTGCTTCTAAAAAGTTAGCCTATGGATTTTGTAGGTAGTACATGGAAATAAAATAAAACGTTTTCTGAGGTTGTGCGATAAGAGGAACCGGTTGCAAATTTTGCACGAATTTGGTCTATTTCAACGATTCTTTGTATGGGAGAATGTCGAAAAATATTTCTTTGCTGAGTTTTTCTCCGCCAAAGTGCTCTACACAAAAGTTAGCATATGGCTTTTATTGTTTGATGTTTTAAATAGCTTCGTGAAAAGTTTCAAAATTGATGGGAAGAGGTCGCAAAACTTAACTTTCGGCATATCCACACAACGTTCGAGCTTTCCCTCTTCTCTGAAACTCGCATGATCATAGAACTGACTTGCTTTGAAATTCCCGTTGTTGTATAATGTATTCCAAGCTTCACCTCGCGTAAACAATCGGACACCTGCCGCCGCAGTTTAGTATTGAAACTGACTTGTTAAAACAAAAAAGTATTTTAATGGGCTTGCTGAAAAGAGGAATAAGCCTGCGGTATACTTTCACGACTACCAGGTTCGTAACAAATTTTTAAAAGTCAGCGCTTTAGGGAGAAACATATATTGGTCTTCAGTTAAATAAACGATAATAATATCACTCGACTAGGTGTTTACTTATGATTTTTCTTTTAGTTCTCAACGAAAAAATAATAGTTAAATATATAGAAAGGAATGAATAAAGTAACCATTGGCAACCGGGCTACATAGGATTTTCTTTTATGGCGCTTTTTTCTAATCACACAACCTTCCGCGCAGCCCTAACAGTGAACACCTCGACACAGTCAATAATTGCGAGTTCTTCTCTTCCTTGGAAATGTCTTCCCTGCAAGAAATGCAACGCGTTGATCGGAGCTCTTTTTAGAGCTCATTGAATCCCTTATCCACCCTGCCTTCTTGCACATATTCATGAAAGGCGACGATCAGGCCTCCTCGTTTTCGTGTAACAACTATGCGCTCAACTTCATGGACCCCCCCGACAAGGGATTTTTGCTTGGGTTGGTATTTAGAACCAAAGACACTATCGCAAACATAAATCAATAATGATGCGTAAAAGCCAGTGTAGAAAACTGTTCTATTAGTATGTATATATGCCGATATGATACTGTAATGTTTCTTACGAATCTTTGCACCTCGGAGATAGCCAGGGTAGTACAGGATGATTTAAATCGAGTTGTACAATGAATGAAAAGTAGCATGCTTATCCTTAATCAGATTAAAACAAAATCAATGCTATTTGGAAGTTGACAGAATCTTGCCAAATCACCAAATTTGTGTATACGGTTATACAGAAAGACTTTGGAAAGAGTAGCTAAATTTAGCTATTTGGGTGTTGTTTTAGATGGGAACCTTTCTTAGAAAGATCACGTCGTCGAGTATGTATGCAGCAAAGTCAGTAGGAGCCTAGGGCCTTTGTCTCGTATACGATCATGCCTCTCGCTGGAAGCCTCTAAACGGGTATACACTTCACTCTTGCAGCCATTATTTGACTATGCTGATGTTGCGTGGGGGGAAATCTCAGAGGGGTGTTGCAAAGAGTTACACCGCATACAGAACCGCGCAGCACGAATTATGCTACGGAATAACACCTCAAATCACGCTTTCTGTGTGCTAAACTGGTTAAACTTAGCTTCCAGAAGAAAAATGCATAAATGCATTCTATGTTTTCAGTGTTTAAATAATGTAGTACCCAAATATCTTACGCAATATTTTACAAGGAATGCGATTTTCAAAATCATGCAACTAGGAGAAGCAACGACCCGCACCAACCAAAGCCGAAACGTAACATGGGCAAAAGAACTTTTAAGTATGCAGGGGCTATTTATTTCAATTTTTTACCCTGTGTTAAAAGTGCCACGTCTGCCAATAGTTTTAAAAAGATGCTGACCGAGTATTTTACCTTATAATTTGATTTAAAACTCAGCTTTTATATGTTTTGATCAATTGAAACGGATCCAAATTTGAATACTTATCTCACACAAAGTTCCCTCAAGCGTTTAAAAAGACGCAGCGCTTGCTTTTTACATGTTAACCGACCGACTCGGGGTTTCAAAGGGAAATGTCATTCAATTCTCTCTGGCATTTACTTCACTTCCATTGTCTTACAAATAGAAAACATATATATATATATATTTATTATTATTATTATTATTAAATCCGCGACCAACGCATTGAGTGCGCAAACCGTTAGGAAATGTTAGCACAAGGCCCTCTATACGTTAGGAATACAACGCAAAGTAAATGCAATCCATTAAATAAGAAAGCTGGCCGAAAGTAAAGGCTTACCAAAGAAGTAAAAATTAAAACCGACTACATATAAGACTTATACAAGAATTTTTAAATGACCTATATAAAAGACTTTTCAAATACTGACCTAACATAAACTTACCCCCTCTTAAGTATGTCGCAAGTTCGGAAAACTCGTCGAAGTCTGTCAAGTGGAAAGCTTGCTTGTCTGGGTCTTCTACAACCTGTTTAAGCTGGTCATAGTCAATGTTTCCTACGCCAACAGCAAAAACCTCCACAGAAGCATCGTGTAACTGTGTGGCAATTGAAACAGGACTAGGATTACTCGAAGGCCTATTCCAACGTCCATCAGTAAGAAGAATAACGGTCGTTTTAACTAAATTGAGTGGCCCTCTCTTTTGACCGCTGGATGGTCCGAGGCAAACATCGTACGCAAGTTGGAATGCATCCTTCATGTTTGTCATGTAGCCATTGATACTTTGAACCATCGGGTTGAATTTTTCGTTGAAGGTACACTTGTTTTTCGTCAAGGCGGGAACAGACACTTGATCTATGAAAATGCTCGCTGTGCTTCCAAAGGGAATCACCTCAACACGGGTAGCTTCCATGCCAACACTTATTTCATTCAACAAGTTGGTAATAAACTTCTTTTCTTCGCTGAAATCACTGCCGCTTAAACTACCAGAGGTATCAATAAGGAATAAAATATCGGACTTTGAGTTTCCATAGAAAGTATTGTTCTTGTATTCGTTTCTGAGTTTCAGAAGTTCTGTTTCTGAAACGCTCAGCCAATCTTGACACAGAATTGTCCGAAAACTCACGAAAGCGAAGACGGAGATATAAAGAAAGGCGTTCATGATTTAACAAAAATAAAGGCACATTGCCACTGGAAGAAAATACATACCATGAACCACTTAATTAGGACGGATCCTCGTTAATAAGTTCATGATCATTTGCTACTTAACACAGCTGAATAAATGTTTTGAAGTAATCCAAATTGCAAATGATCGCGATATTTATTTTAGGAAGATAACAGTAAACCTCAAAATTTACACATTTACTGCTCCATGAAAGTAATTTAAGAAGATTTGCTCCTGCTTTACTAAGTCACTCTTTGCTATTTGTTACTTTCAGTCTTTTTATAGTGTATTCATTGAGGAACGTATTACTCTACCGCTCCTTACATTCGAAGCAAACCTTTTTCTGTAGTGACATTTTTTAACGCCTTTACACCAAGGTTAACGAACGTTCTTGAGTAAAGAAGAAATTATATTTATGCAGCTGTATATTCAATATGGATCTGTCATGTATTCACAGCAGTAAGTTTCTCACGGACTTTATAGGGTTACAAAATCTTAACGTAAGACCGTCTCTCGATACCAACGCTGCCGAGAAGCGAGATATCATATCCCATTTTTTGTTCGACATAATTCCAAACGTTTAGCGTTAGCATAAAGGGTTTAACTGGGCTAGACGTCAGACGTTATCTGTCTCGAAGGATCTTAAAGTGGTCCTAGAGTTGTGACGCCGTAGTGTCCCTGCGTAACAAAATCTACTATTGAACTTAAATTTATTCGCGACAAACCTCCACGAAACGACAGGACTTCCAACAACGTCCTTTTTCACATTTCTTTTGGCTGTTTAGTTACGTATGTTAACTCTCTTACTATTAAAACGCGACAACGTCCTTTGCATCGCCCTTAAGCTTTACATCGCCCTTTGCCGAAAAAGAAATTTTCACCAGCTACAGTATCTTACTTAAAGCCTCAGTCTGTTGAAACTTGAGTCGATTTAACCGAGTGTCCTTGCTGAAAAACACCAAATAGTCGGAAAAATAGAGAATATAAATCCTTAGAGTTTAATGAGCCTTAGCCTTAATGAGCCTACTTGCTTCTAACTGAACTTTGAACTTTAATTTAGTCTAAATTTTACGCATATTTGTTGAGAACTGCATTTCTTTCTGTTTCATATACATCAGTGGATCTTGTTTGTAACCTAACATTGGTTGTTACAATTTAAAAAAATAGTGAGAAGTTGTGGCACAATTTTATCCTTGGTTTGGGAGGTACAACGTGTGATTGGCTAAGCCTGGGAAAGGAATGTCGTTCTCGGTTAAGCAGGCGTTTGTGACGACGGACGAAATACGAGCTCCCAAAAAAACGCCTGCGTGAGGCTAAACAGGTTTGAAATCGGAGATGGGGAAAAACATGTATTTCTCTAAAGTCAACATTATTTAAGTTTCAGTCCATCGAGGTGAAAATGATATCCCAGGTTTCCTGTGTTGCAGTTCTCATGGTCCCAAAGATACCAAACTTCATACAATCACTACCTCAACAACACGGGTAGCTCACTATTACAGACAGTTCTCTTAGTCCCATAAAGATACAAAACTTCATACAATCCCCACCAATATGAAATGGACATCCCTCTATTACGGACAATTCTCATGGTCCCATAGATACTAAACTTCGTACAATCACCACCTTTATAATACAGACAGCTCTCCATTACGGACAGTTCCCTTTGTTCCACATGGGGATACCAAAATTCATACAATCGTCACCTTTCTAATACGGACACCTGTCCTCTCTCCTCCGCAGAGGCCTCTTTGTGTTGTGGGGAGGCTGGGGAGAAAGAAAAGAGCGCGCGGGGCACGATGGGAAGTTTCCCTCTACCCATCGTCCCCCGCGCGCTTTCTATTTTTTCGATTATTTTATTTTGATGGGGATACCCAGCGGGAGCCTCTGCGGAGGAGAGAGGACACCTATCCATTACGGATAGCTCTCATGGCCTGAGAGATGCCAATCTTCAAAAAAACAAAACATTGCCTCGACAGGGCCGCTCTCTATTTCGGACAGTTCTTAAGAGACACCAAACCTCAAGCAATCACGATACGGATACTTTTCTATTTCGGACAGCTCTCATCGTCCCAGAGATAAAAAACTTCAAGCAATCCGTATCACTATAGGACGAAAACGTCTATATTATCATTATTTAACACAAATTTAGTCTGATATTTTTTCTTTGTTTTGATTTTTTAATATTCATCTTCAAACACTAATAAAGAGATAGACTTGCTGCAAGTCAACTGCAAGTTCATTGCTCAAAAAAGGCGTCTTGTCGCCTATTTTGTGAAATCGTGACATTACATTAAATTGCAGTTGATCAGCGCGACGTTTCTCTTTTTAGACACTAACATAAGGCCAGTATTTCTGGTAGGTTCCAGTCCATCCGGCGTGGAAACGACCGTCGGAATTGCCACCGTTGGTGGTAAAACGGATCCAGAGATAGGTGCCAGAAGTGAAGGAGCCAGACGGAATAGTATGCCCTCCCCAGCCGCTTGAAAGTACAGTATCACCAAATCTGTGAAAAACCCACATATTAGAGGATAAGTTACCACTTATAAAATATTTGGCCGGAAAAAGGCGACCGGGCGGATTGAAGAGTTGCTGAAAAAGCCAAATTGCAATATAGCCGAACAGCGCACACTTCCATTAGTTTCTTCGAGGTCATCAAGAAAGCTGTTTCGCGCTAAAGGTGTCTGAACGGGCAACGTTGCATATTCTGTGACGTCATGAGATAACAGTGCATTGTTAGCCGCGAACGTTGACCACTCGCTGAGATTTACTTTCATAAATTAGTACAAACCATTATGATAGACGTTTTTCTTCTTGTTGAGTATAACAAATCACTTAGTGATAATGTTCCTTGTTTCTCTCGGATTTCAATCAATAAGGAGCTTAACCAACAACGACGGCGACGGCTACGAAAACGTCAGTTACAAAGCGTGTTTGCGCTGTTTTTAAACTCATTGCGCTTATTTCATCGTATCTCCCTCAATTCGTTGGCGATTTTTTTGGAGTTGAATTTTAGAGGGGTCGCTGTTCACGTTCCATGTCGTAATCGTGCAACGACGGCAAAGAAATGTACAAAACAGCGTGTAAAGTTGGTTTTTTTTGCCTTTCTCGTTGCCATCGCCGTCTTTGTTGCTTAAGCTCCCAATGGAGATTCTCGAGAAACAGAACTGCCTCCCTCGAGGCCTGTCATTAATTGTTTGAAATTTAAGTTTCTCCTGAAAAAATTAACAACAGGAATATGTAGTCTGAGAGTGCAAGGCTAAAACCCAGAAAACAAACAAGAGCACATACACACAAATTCGTAATGAAAATGAATCTACAAAGTATTCGATTTGAAAAATCCCGAAACGTGCGAAAGTGGAGGTAAATCGACATAAGACTGTGCCTTGTGTTTCTCATGATTCATGCCATCCATAAACGGACACATGACATGACTGGGTTATGTTCCGATGGATATGACACCGTGCATTCACTGGGGCAAAGAGGCCTAGCAATACATAGTCAATGAGATTTTACGTTAAATACACTGCGTTAAGTAACAGCTACTTGTTGTAATGTTGCTTACATGTCTCTCGCTCAACCTCCCTTACAAATGCAAATAGTCACGTAAACAGCAACAAGAGCGGGCAAAAATGCTTTCATGCGAAACATTATAAATACTTTTAAATTACCTTCCTGAGGTTATGGCAACCGTGTCATAGGTACTTTCTGTTGCGAACTCCGTGAAAATGAATTCGGCGGTCTCCGTGGTGCGGTAGACCAACCATACGCAATCGAGGTTGTTCGCGTATCCATTAGGATAGCCTGGAGAGGTGATTCTTCCACTTCCATCTTCATATACACCTCCACAAGATGTGTCTATAAAGAAGAATCAAGAATCAGTAAAGCTAACTGATTATCTTTGGTGGTTTGATTCCCGCAAATTCCTCAGAATGGTACATGTAACACTTCACTGAAATCCCAAAGAGAACCGGCTTACTATCATGGTTTTCTGTAGCTAACTTAAGGGCTTCAAATTTGGCCAAATGATATCCTCCTCTACGGACTTTAATTTAAAGTTTTTCTCTTTTCAACAAGTGGGGGATATCGAAATTGTGAAAAGCCACAGTAAGTATGACTGTATAATGTACAAAGCAAGCAAGAAAAGTGAAAACAAATGGATAGTTATCGTCATCGACTACTTGAATAGGATCTTAGTTAAAAAGAAGGAAAAAAACAGTGTTCTTTTGGCCGACAACAGAAGTGAAAACTCTCTTAAAAAACTCCCCTCTCCCGCATTATTTTCCCCAAATCTGACAGTATCACGGAGAATAGTTATATTCTTTGCTTCGCCTTGATGACTCGTGATGAGAGAAGAGGAATTAAGGCGTGTCGGTCAGTAACAGTAATTTGATGAATTTTGTCTTAATGCTTTTACTGTTTAGATGAGACGCAGACTGTAGTTAAACAAAACACGGGGGTGAAAAATTCCGGTTGGGGTGTCGAAAGCATAGAAGCGAGCGATTCACCAGTTTACCGCAGAACTGCCTCATCCGTTACGGTTTGAATCCAAAAAAAAAAATGGAATTTCCGGCGTTTGAGTTGTTACGAATTAGCCGGAAATGATTGAAATATTTCTGCGGCATGGGAGCAGTGGCGACTGGGGCGGTTTCAGTTGAAGTGCAGTATGGTTAGAATGGAGTGCCATTTTAAAAAGGGATGCTTATCACGTGGCAAAGCATTCTAGGCCGACACCTCGTCTAGCCCACATTATTTTTTATTTATTAATTATTTGATTTATAAAGTGACAGATCGAGTTGTGCGAGGGTTTTAGCTTGTTTTAGTTATTTTTCATTTGTTTTGGAATAGTTATTTCGAATTTACCGTGCTTTGTTGGATTACAAGCTTAGTAAATAAGGCCCGGTGGCTTCTCTTGGGCTTCCTCGCCATGAGAGTTTAAATAATTAGATTTTATTTGATTTGTACGACCTATGGCAAACAAAACAACAAAACAATAAATGTGGGCGTGCCTGCCTGTCGTAGCCTTCGTAGGATGGGCTTTTCAGGAAATGAGCCATGGATCTTACCCAGATTTCTTGCCGAGTTTTTTCCCTACTAGGGCTTTTTTTCCAGCATGTTTTTTTCGGCCTTCGTTCTGACAGTATTCTTTGTGAACTGTCGCTCAGCTCTGTTCTAGTTTACCTGCCACATATTTGAATGTAATAGAAGTTGGAGTATTACGCACTGTTATGTCTGCGGTGCTAGGCCGAAACAGCAAAAATATACCTAATGGTTTTCCCGATTCATGTTGTACTGCGTAGTGGAGCTGAAATGGAGTAAGTTTGTGTAGCGCGAGTCTAGAACCGACAAATTTGTAAATGGTAAGCAACATTACGTTTGGTTCGTACCAACCGGAATGAACGGACTACCTCAAAACGTACTCCTCAATTTTCGGTTGGAATTTCCGAAAAGTGACCTTACCATTTACCTTACAACCGGAATTTCCGAAGTTTTCTGTCAAATGGAAAGCACCCTTGCTTCACTGGAGTGCGATAAACCAAATTTTAAAGGGGCTTTGTAGCGGCTGACTAGTTCATTTTGATTACACAACACACGTCCCTCCCTATTTGCTATAGAACTTGAGAAATTTACTGACAAAACCGCAGCTTCGTGTCAAACAGTTGTCAGGGGCACCCAACGACAGTTTCCTCCTAAATACATTAAAATCATTTTTTAGGCTATCCAGAGTACTTTATGGTATCTAGAAATGCATTCTTAGCCGCGCTATATAATTTGTACCTGTTCGGTCATCCTAGGGAACTTGAGAAGTTAAAAGGGTTTCAGTATTATTTTCCCGAAAATGTTAGATATAATTCAAAGTATTTACGAAAGCGAGGATTTTTCTGATTCCCGTCTCCATCACATTTTTGAACATGGGCAGTGTAAAGAATTTAAAAAATCGTAGGTAAATAATTAGATAAGCTTCGAAAATTGTACATGAATAAACGGTCACCTACAAATTTTTAACCGTCCTTAACCAATAGAAAAATTCTAGGAAATATTTGCTTCTTCGCATTATTTTAAACGATGCAAACAACAAAATTGTTATGCTAACAAGTTTTCAAAAAAAACAAGTGCAGTTCGTTCCAATCTACTTTAAGTTTGTCATCTATGCCTCCTTTTGTATCTGCTGTGTTATATTTACTTTCTATTTATGTTTCATTTTATTTGGAGGCAATTCCCAGTTCTTAAATTTTGATAAATTTCGTTACACGGCTCCTTTAATTTTACGAATCAGTCTCCAGACAGTAATCGTCAAGAATGGTCGTAAATGTAAGGGAGACTGAATTTTCAAGGTTATCTAAGAAAGCAGAGATGGTTGTGTAATAAGAAAATTACTCAAGATAGAAAACTGATTTAAAAATGTTGCTCACCAACTTGCTGGTAACTAAAACTAAATCCCTTCTTTGTTGTTGCTCCATCGCTGATAAATCTCACTCGCAGGACATTTCCGGATGAGGTAAAAGGGGGCGGTTTGTAAGTTGTTCCATCAAATATAATGGTTGGTGTTTCGTAATGGTTTGTATCGTAGATCATCAGATAGTCCTTGCCACTCTCCGTTTTGAATTCCTTAAAGTCAAGTCGGATTTTCTTGTTCACCGGAACTTGAATCTGCCACGTACAGTATTCATTGTCATCGTAATTTGCTGGATAATTTGACGAATTCACTGTTCCGCTTGGACCAACTAAAAACGTCCCACAGCTCGTAGCTGAAAAATAATTCCTTTATTTAATTGTAATGAAAATTTAAGGAGGCCTTTTTACCAAGTTTCACAAATGCTTGTGCGTGTAGCTAACGCGATTAGCCGCGCGTTTAAGGACTTTAATCCACTTATTTTTTCATGCAAAATTTTATGATGTTTTGTTTTCTTTACGCGCGCGCACGCAATTTCTAGATTTAACTAGAAAGTTCTTTCTAACGCAAGCAAGGGCATACGAGAAAGCGCCATTGAATTTCTTCACTAAAAGTTTAAGTTTTTTGTGTTTGCGGTTAGTTGACGCACGTTTTTGTCAATTCCAATTTCAAGAAGCCAAGAAGCAAGTTTTCCTTGTTCTAGGGATTTTTAAAGACATCACCAAGGTAAATATTTACGTTACATTTCTTAAAGTAAGTAAGCGCTTTGTAATTTTATCCTTTAAGACTGATTTTATCGCTGATTGCATCGTAAGATCAAGATTTTGGACTTTAGACGAAGTTAAGGTTACACACGACATCGTTTACCGTTGTTTGAAAATTTTAAGTTTTTACCTTTCTTTCTTGTTGCTTTCAAAGAGGATGAAATGTGTGCATTTTCCGGGGTACAATGTAAGTGTGTTTGTTTTTTCGCGTGAAATTTGGAGCTGATTCTGAGCAGCTTTGAAGATCTATCGAGCGATTCTGTCCTAACTTGTCTCTTATTATTAGACTGTCAGGTCAGATGATGTAAAAGTACTCAAATCGCGCTGAAACTTTGTAAAAACAAAGACAACGACTCCAGGTAATAATAGTTACACTTAATTGATAACTTTTATCGCTTTTAGAATTCATTTTTTTTCTAGTTTCATCTAAGTTTTCGTTTGGTGTGACTATTTTTGTAAACTCTTTTAAATCTTTTTTATTTTTATTTTTTCATTTTTCATTTTTTACAGGACCTGCATTGATAGCAGATTTTTTCTTAAAACTGAAGCAGCAATCCTGCATAAATATGTTTAAATTATTATTATTATTATTATTAAGTTTCAAACTCTATTTTCCCATACAAACTCTCATATTACGCTAAGGACCACTTGTGTCATGACTTTTAGAGTTTTGAGTGGGAAGAAAGGAAAACTCTTACAGGGTGTTGCCCTTGGAACATAACGGTGCGAGGCGAACACTCCCATCACTCCCCTGAACCCCATATAAAACGCAAATTTCAATCTAATGTTCAAATTTAAAAAAAGTTGGAGGTCTCAAAGAATAGGTTTATTTCAGGTAAAGGGTGAAATCTGCATTCGAGCTAAGCGGCCCATCAGGCTTATCCCGGATACTCATCCTGGGAAGGGATGCCATTCCATCGCAGGTTTAACCCCAGCATAAAAGGAGCTGTTCCCGAAATTTATGAAAAATTCAAACAGCGGGAACCGCCACCAACCTGAGTGCAACATAAAAAAAACTCCTCAGGACATGACGAAAAGGTATAAGCAACACAGCAAATAGAAGAAAAAAGGATTGGATGGACAAACTTGGAGAAGATTTAAACGGATCGTTGTTGGCCTAACAGTTTTTTTATTGTTCATTTTTGTTGTTTGTAACGTTTGATATACTGCTTGGGAGACATATTTGTTTGACATCAAAAGCTGTGATTTTGTAATTTTCAAGTACTTTCTCAAATTCTCTAGAGAATAAGGACGCGCAATTGGCATTATTACCAAATTGAATTAGGCAATGGTGACACAGGCCCTTTAAATTCACCCGTACCCGTTTGTTTACTCGCATGGAGTGAAACATTGCGTGAATAGTGTCTTGCCCATGAGCAAACACAGTGACCCAGTCCTCTCGATACGGAGTCTAGGGCAGTAACCACTCGGCCACAGTGTCTCCAACTTCGTTTGAAAGCTATCTTCAAAACGTTACGCAATAATCTGCGCCTCTAGAGTTGAAAAACTGTAAGCTGAAAGGTCTGCGTAATAGCGTCGAATTAATTTCGTTTTGACTTTTTTCCCTCACTTGCTCTCATTTGATTGGAGCCGAACATTGCAAAAAAAGCTTTTAACTGACAACACCAAAGCCTCCTAGAAAAGAAATATGTCTTCCTCGCGTTATATTTATAGTTAAGACAATAGATCGCCAGTTACAATTTGTTTCTCCTTCAATTGTGCCCATCCGTGCCTTGTTTTTTGTGTGCTCTGCTGTTGAAACCTTTTGTTGGGGTTGTTTTTATATTTCGCCTAACTTGGTGGCACATTCTCAGAGGCTGAATTCCGCTACCATTTCGTAACATAGCTCCTTTAAGCAACAGTTGATCTTTCTGCTTACCCTGACAGGTGGGCTGACTTCCTGTCCAGCTTCCATCTGCTTGACAAGTTCTGGTCAGGTCACCAGCTAGTTTATACTGAGGGTCACACTCTAACAGGATTGTGTTCTTGTAAGTAAAGAGATCACCATATCTGACTCCGTTAGCTGGTGTACCTGGATCACCACAGTTGACAACTACAAATGACAAGACAATACTTTCATTTACGACCAACACGTTGACAAGACTACCTTGCTAATGCGACAACACTGATAATGCGATCACTCCATTAATGTTAACCAAGGTTAAGTGGCCACCTCGTTAATGCAGCCGCCTTAGTTGTTCAAGAGACCACTACCTCCTCAATGCCACCACCTCCTTAATGCAAGCACCCAGTTGATGAGACCACCTCTTCATATGCGACAACCTCGTCAAAAATGCAACCACCCTGGTAATGCAACCATTTCATTAATGTGACCACCCGGTTAATATAACCACTTTGTTAAGAGGACCTCCCTATTAATGAGACTATCTTGTTAATACGACTACCTTATTAAAAAACAACCTTGTAAATGCAACCACCCAGATAACTTGACTTTTTCAAAAAACAACCACCTTGTTAATGCAATCAAAATGCCAAATGTGACCACCCAGATACCTGTACAACCATAGTAATGCGACCACCCTACCTTGTAAAAGTGGATAACTTCGTTAAGACGACCATCTTGTTAATGCAGCCTCCTCGTGAATGCGACCGCGTTGTTAATACGATTACCTGTTACTACCGCCTTTTTACGTTGTTGCCCTTCTTACCGCAAAGAACTTTTTGTGGTACGACAACTCCATGATCGTTTAAACGTTTCTACGTTGTTGCCTTCTTAGTGCAAGAACTAGAAATATATCCAGCTTACTTTGACACGTAGGTTGAGTTCCAGTCCACAAGCCGTTATCCTCACATGTACGTACAGCTGACCCTTGTAATGTATAACCAACGTTGCACTCGAATTTAATTGAGTTACCATACTGGTAAGACGACGAATTCTTCTTCCCATTGTTAGGCACTCCAGGATTTCCGCAAGAGCGCGCTGTAAGTGAAAACAAGACGGTGAAGGTGACTTTTTTTATTTAGACTACAACATTGTTACTTGTGTAGGACTCTATCTTTGCTTTTTTTCTTCTTGGCTTCTCTGTTTGTCTCGGCTCCCCTAGTTGTTTTCCCGTATGCCTGTTTTCCTCTCTATTACTTTATTTAGTTTATGCAACTTCCCCAAACTTTTTACAAAACCTTTTGAATTGTTCGAGTATATTTAATTTACCTTAATTAAACTTCACATTACATTGTACAAGTGATCTAGTTTATCTTTAATTAACCATAATTGGCAAATAGCAGATAGACTCTTCAAATCAACATTAAGGTAAACGTTCCTTTTGTTTGTTCATTGTTTTTTTGTTTGTTTGTTTTTTAATACTACAAAAGGTGGTGGCGAACTGGAGGAATATGCCACTTTGGCCAGCACACGCATCCACTAAACTTTATTGTATCTTTTAATCTATGTAATTATTCAAAACATCTGCCATGTAAATTCCACGCCGCTTTATCAGTCCAAATTCTCTTATAAACAGTTGTCTAGTTAGTTAAAACAAAAGAAACCTTCCTGCATTATAGGAAAGCTTCCCCCCGTGATTCCCAAGAAATTAATGATGTTTTTTGCTCCAATATGTTTATTCTGCATCCATCGAAATGCATAATTCTATTCAGTACTGATGTGAAACATTTACACCAAAAGTATCACGCTACATTTATGCTGCATGATGAATTATGCAACGTCTTTCGAGAAAGAAAAGTATCACAATAACTTTAGTTTATTGGGACGGCACCTACCCAAACAAACTGGTTTGGATCCACTCCATGTTCCATTAGCGTGACAAACCTGACTGTCCTCTCCCTCCAGGTGATGGTCTGGTTTGCAAGTGTACGTTACAATGGACTGGTACTTAGTATCGGTTGTTATGTGACGGTATCCCCCGTAAGGATTTCCTGGATCACCACAGTCAACCACTAGGTTTACAGTAAAACCATTTTGAAAGTCATCAATTCAATTCTATTATTATGTATTCTACACTTTATAGGACATTTAAATAAGTTATTTTATAAATAAAAGAAGAAAAAGAATAATGAGTAATCATTTGGCTAAGAGGATAACATGTGTACAGTGTCTAAAGTAGCAAGAGCTTTCTAGCTGGACACGGCCTCCTTTAGATAAATGGTAGCAGCAAAAAAAATTACATCAGTGATAAAGCGCGCAGAGTAGAAGTAAGATCAAGTCTGATCTATCAAAAAATAGTATTACACGGTATAGACATTTGAGACCAAAACAGAAGTGACAAAGTTTCCCAGACTTTTGAGCAAGAAAATATATTAGGCGTTTTACCTGAATTGCTAGACATTCTTGGTTAAAAAAAAAAAGTTTACTAGCAAGTCTTATTAATTATAATTGTGTACTCTACGGAAAATATCTGCATTGCTATCAGTTTCATTCTTGATCCTACAAATTTTACTCTTTGTCTTGCAAGATAGGAAAACTGAGGCAAGAAAGGATTACCGAAGGAAAAAAAGAAAGGGCATCCAAGCGTCGTCATCTCGCCTATGATATAGAGCAATTTCATATTTGGCGTTGTTTTCCTGACGACAGCCCTACCCTAAAATTGTAAATGACCAACAGTTAAAGGGTCAAAAGGTTTATTGTTCGAAAGTTTCTTCTAAAATACCAAATTCGTGTTACGCATACTTCATCATAAAACTGTGCTCGCAAATAAAACTGACTTAGCAAATGGCAGCTTTTGGTCTATCTTACATTCGCACACAGGATCGTCCCCTAACCACAGTCCTCCTCCTGCTCCGTCAGAAATACAAGTCCTGAATGAGGCGCTTGAAGGCACCAAATTGTACCCATTGTTACAGGTGATACGTAGGGTAGCTCCCAGTTCATAACGGAAGCCTTGAACTGCGCCATTATCAGGAACTGGAACTGGGCTACAGAAGGAAGCTGGAATTACACAAATAAACGCGCGCGTTGGGTAAAACTGATTATTCATTATTCATGACGAAAACACAGCAAAGATTTTTAATGGGTCTCTATTAATCATGAAAGAAAATGGTTTTCTTTACGTGTAAGCTGCTCTTCAATGAAATCGCTTTAAATGGCTTCAGTTAACAAAGAAGTCTTAAAAATAGAAATCAAGATGTTTCACGTTACGATATCGATGAAATGCTAGTGTCAGATCTCTGTGAGATTTACAATGGATCGTCTTTGGTTTTCCTGTTTTCATTTAAGTGAAGATGGACCTCTTTTCCACCCAATTAAAGGGACAGTGTCCCGATTATGCGCACGCGCGAGCGTCACCTTTTTTTTTCTTCAAAAGACAATAGAACTGTCATATTGACTGGACAAGATTTGCTTCCGGACCGCACCGCCGACGGAGATGTGCTGTTTACATTCTCAAGTAATATTTTAGACTTTCGAAGAAGTCTTTCGTCTTATATAATAATTTGGCTGGCGGTTCGAAGACTCATCGCGATTTTATCGCTAGCAGGGTCACCTCGCGACCCGAGAACGGCTCTTTCGGCTCGCTTTAAAACATATTTTCTAATTTGAAACTCGTGTCAGAGGTCAATTGTTCCAAGTCCAGTAATATCTGCCCGATTTGCTCGCGTTTTAACCTCAACCGTTTGAAAGACATAAATAAAATGCAATCTCAACGCTATGAATTATCACTAAGGTTAGTCAAAAATTATATTATGATTTCATGGCACTAGGTTTTCTAAACATGTAGCGCCTGTTTGTTTGATTTTGTCCGCCGTAGGGAGGTTCATTTAAAAGTTTACTAACGCGTCGTTGCAAAACTTTCTGCTTCACGAAGCTCCCCTCCACAAGATCTCCTCAGTCACATCAATGTCTCAATGGTTTTTTTCTTGCAGCCTTTATTGTGGTTTCATTTCTGCGTATTCCTCTCACAATTATCTGAGCTTGTGGAAGCTAGCGGAAGAAATAAGCCTTCAATAGGCATCAAAGCTCTTCCAGTCTTCTGGTCCTCCGGCCAACGGCAATAAAAGTAACGCCAAAAAAACAGATTTTGCTCAAATCGAAACTCAACAGGAACAATATATCATTGATCTGTAATCTGTAATCTCTTACTCTCCTTTCATCTTCTGATTTCGCGACATCCTGTCCAAAAATCAAAGTTTGGTGCATGCGCAGTAACGGGAAACTGTTCCTTTAAGGTACAAATGGGTAGACCCCTTCAATGTTGCCTACTTCGTTTCAAACTAGTGAATTTACTTTAAAAGTTTGAAATAGCATTTCTGAATTGATACATACCTACACATCTCGGTTGTGTTCCACTCCAAGTTCCACTTCCTTGGCAGGTTCTGGTAGCATCAACATTCTCCGGCATTCGGTAGTTCGCATCACAAGTAAACGTTACGGTGGTCCCAACAACGTTCAAAGCACCGTCAGCTCCATTAAGAACTCGAGTGGCATGTTCTACTTGTCCAATCTCTGGGCAGTAAACGCCTTGTGTGAAATAGAAAAAAAAGGCAAACGATCAAATTCACCGGCCATGCTGAATGCTTCTCACACCTTTCCTTCTTCATGCAAATTCCCAGAGGAATTTTCATGCGGTCACTCATGATAACAAAAGCAAAGAAATAAAATAGAAGAATAAGAAAAAGGATGCTTTCTGTTGCTATTATTTCTTCCTAATTCTCATTAAGTTGTGTGAATAGTCCATTTTACAGTTGCAGGTGGAAACCTGGCTAGAGTAGTTGACCTTGTTTTGATACAACAGTTGCTTTATTATGTAAATCATATTGTTTTTATGCTAACTAGTATTGTTTGCGCATAATTTCCATAAGAAAAGGAAAAAGGTTTGCATAAAAAAGTATACCTTGGCCTCATGTTCACTCAAAGGATAAGTTACCATGCTCAACCATGCTAAGGACTGTAAAATGATACATTAGTGCAATAGAAGACACTTACGTATACAGCTGGGCGCTCCTCCAGACCACTGGCCATCTGCCTGACAATATCTAGTAGATGTAAATGTAACTTTATATCCACTGTTACAACTGTATGTTGCAGTGCTACCAACAAAATTACCGGAACTCAGGGCTATATTGCCATTTGATGGACTGCTCAAACTGGGACAAGACAGGGCTGAAAAAGAAACGATAAAAATGGACAAACGTACAATCGCATCTTCAATAACGGGCATCTTCCACACCAATGGAAAATATTGCACCAACATCAAGCCCGACTTCACTTACTGCCGTAAACACGTCCATGGCCTACTCTGCGGAAAGGCAAAGAATAACGGGCACCACAACACAAATGGCTGCGAAATATTGTTCAAACATTCAGTCCGAGTACAACTATACTGCCATAAACACGTCCACACGACGGCCTGATCCAAGTAAAGGCAAAGAAATGTTGTTCCACACACCAGCACAAACGCGTACTGTCATTGACAACTTCACATAACAGCATCCTCTGCACAACGGTTAAAAATAATGTCCATTCGGCCAGCCCATAAACGTCCTGTCATTGACACCACTACATAGGGACCAACACGACGCAACTTTAACGGCTGCATTTTAAAGAAAGTCCGTCCCAAAACTCCATTTAAACCGTTTAGCACTGATGACTTCATGACTTCAAGACTTCAAGACTTATATAAATTTTCTAAAGAATATTTTTACAAGTGTTCTGGCACCGCAGATAGCTGTAGCTAGTCTAGAAGGGCCAGGAATGATACGCAAAGAAAATAACTGCAACTAAATTAAGGTACAGAAAAAAAAGTAGAAAGTGAGAGAGATTCATCAGTTTTTAAATAAATATGGAGCGATTCACTAATTGCAAAAATTATAATCTTACGAAGAAAAACATATGAAAAAGATGCATTTAAAACTCTATGGAGGAAAGGAAGACAAAACATTAGCTCGTTGTTTTTATAGACAGGATTACAAAAATATTGGTTCTGCTTTCTTCATTTGAAGAATAATTTCATCTATTTCATAATAAGTATCACCAGTCTCCAATATATCAAGCAATGATGCAGAAATATTGAATATGAATTTATCTCATTCCATAATTTGGCACCAGGTCTCGAGAAAGAAGTTTTTTTATGTCAAGATTCGATTTTTGATATAACAATTTTGAGAAGTAGACGACCTAGTGCCGTATGAATGTACACGAGAAAGTGGAAGGAGCAATTCCTGAATGTTTGTAGATCACTGAATCTTTCGACCAGCAATATTTGAAAGAGTGAGATTCTTGAAAGGACTTTGCATCATGTAGCAATTCCTGAGGCCTTGGGTGTAAATCTTGATGCTGAGCTCACTATCCTCCAGGAGGTCAAAGCTCTCGGGCAATAGTCGGCGAGTTTCCTTTCGCTTCGCCAAGACACCATCTCTCGCAATGCGCCGCGTGAACTTGCATATAATAAGGAAGGGTCTTCCTGTAGCTCGGCCGCGGCCATTTTGATTTCTTGTTGGCACTCGATGGGCTGTGTCAATATCAAATTCTGACACGTTGGCTCCAATCCCTGAAAAAAATATCCAGGCATTTCTTGATTGTGTCTTCCGCGCTCTCTGAAGTACCCTGTGGTACGCCAACTATTGAGACTCTCCTCGGCACGGCCATTTGCGCTATGAAGCTCATCATAAAAGTCGCTAAGCCATTGTACGTCCTTCGCACTTGGGGCTTCGGAGCTCAAAGACTCAGCTGCGCCATGTTGTTCCGGCGGCCCTAGTGGCTTCATCCCTCCTTCAAGTTTAGGGCTTCTTTACGTAATCGTCTAGTTGCTTCGTAAGCCAGTCATTTTCTTTCCTTAATGCTTCTACATGATTTTTTTCATGATCTTTCCTTGCTCAAAAGTGCAGCCAGGAAAAAAGTGCTTTTCTGCAGCGCAGCAGCAAAACGGGGCTTAACTCTGGGACGTTAGTTTCTTACAGCAGGCGGTCGAAGGGCAGCTGTTCACAGATAAGCTAAGATGTCATTTTGGTAGTTTTATCAAGAGTCCTTATTAAACCCAATTCATGTAAACAACGGCTACCATATGTCGTCCTGGTTGTGGCCCTTTTGCAAAGGTTTCACTGCAGTGTTCTTAAAATAGGCTTGATCACTTCCCGAGAAATAGAAGTACCGTAAAATTCCGAAAATAAGCCCCGGGGCTTATATTTTTCAAAGGCCCTTTTTGAGGAGCTTATTTTTGGAGGGGCTTATATTCGGAGGGGCTTATCTACGGAGCGAAATTTGCATTTCAAAATCGATTGGACTAATCTTATAGTTTAAACTAAATTTACCGTTTTTGCTTTGTTTTACTTTGTATTTGAGGCCAATTTTCCAAGTACAAGCCCCCGAGGGCTTATATTTGGAGGGGCAATTTAACGGAGGGTTTTTTTGCGTTACCGATTTGGAGGGCTTATATTTGGAGGGGCTTATACATGGAGGGGCTTATTTTCGGAATTTTACGGTATATCAAGAAAAGCCATTTAGACGTCATATCAAGGAGAAGCGTACATAAGCAACGGCGACAACGACAGCTATTCCAAAAAGAGAATAGGTCTAGAACAGCAAAACAACAACATTGCATGAGCATCAAGCTTTTTTGGACATTTCTTTGCCGTCAATGTACGACTACGGCTTGAAACTAGCTAATTCCACGTTTTGTGAAGGACGTTGTGAACACAAGACAACGATTTCCTATTTTTTTTATTTTTTAGCGTACACACAGCCCTCTACAATCCGACTTCAGAATTTGACATTTGAACGACATGGAACAACAGCGATATATATATATTTAGTATATACTAAAACAGTGGATAGTGTTTTTCTTGCGCTCTGATGGGCTACCCAATCAGTGAATATCCTGCACTATTCACTGATTCACCTCCAGTTCCTCCGAGCGAGCGACGCCAAACTCGCCAAGTTGCAAGCAAAATGCCTTCCCGGTTTGCTGCCGTAACAAACAAAGACATTGCCACCTCCACTTCGGTGAATAATTGTTATATATTTTTTTAAATTTTGAATTCACTTTTGAAGAGATGATTTCACCACCGTCGTTGTTGCCGTCGTTGCTCAAACACCTTTATAGGATGCCTAAGCAACGACGATGGCGACGGCAACGAGAACAGCAAAAAGGCAATAGGTTTATATTAGCAAAACTATGCAACTATGCGCGTGCATCAGGCTTTTTGTACACTTCTTTGCCGTCGTTGAACTACTACAACGATAAAACGCCTAAATTAACTTTTTCTCGAGGACATGAACACAAGACAACGACTTTCTTTTTCTTTTCCTGAACTTTGATACAGTCTTCTAGAATTCAACTCCAGAAAAATTTGCCAACATTTGACGAATTGGACGAGTTGGAATAAGGGCGATAAAGTTTGAAGTAAAGCGAATTCACTTTTAAGTGACGTTTTCGTATCCGTAGCCGTCGCTGTTGCTTAAGCTCCCTATTAACACAAAGTTAAAGTGAATTGGCCCCAGTAATTTGCTTACTTTAAAATTATGTAAACACTGCATAAGGAACTGACAAATACAAAGGAGCTTTACCTTCACAAGTTGTTTTATCTGCCCTAAGAGTGTATCCTTCCCTGCAGACACAGTAAAACGACTGGAAGGTATTGACACAGGAGTGTTCACAGCCGCCATTTGAAGATGCACACTCATCGATGTCTCAAAAGAAAAAAAAAACATGTTCGCAGTTAGAAATTACTGCCAAGGCATTAAACTCGTTTCCTTTAACTTCCTTTTTTTGTTTTTCGCCACTAACAAGATAATCCGCACAATTCACTCTGACGATGATTTCAGAAAAGGTATGGTCGTGGAAAGGTTAGAACGATCATATTTAACGTACTTACGACATGACCACTGGGTGCAGCAACGGATTTGATATCTGACAAGGTAGACATACAGCTCACCTCGGTCTGTGCTCATTGAAGCACGAGCACAAATTGTAAATATTAATTTTACCTTTGCAACTTCTTTTTCCAGAATCCAACTCCATACCATTTGGACAGGAACAAGTAAATGATCCCGCGGAGTTGTGGCACGTGTGGGAACAGCCTCCGTTAGCGAATGAGCATTCATTGATATCTGAAAATAACAGAAAGCGATTATGAGCTTTTCAAAATTACTTTGGTAATGGTGGTAACACGCCTTTTCTTCATTTGAGATAAATAAACACACCTTCATCGCTGAATTTGGAAGGGTGTGCTCGTAATTAAAATTAACGTCCTTTTACCAATAAGTGCAAATAAATAGGTAAATAAATAAATAATAAAAATAATAATTATTATATAGTAATAGCTAATATATGCACACTCAGTGATCTTGGTGATTCAAGCAATCTGATTGGTTCGCTATCTCGGACTCTGACGTTATATTTACCGTGATTAGATTTAGCCATGGCCAAGGCTAAAGCGAGAATCTCATTAATAAATTTATAATTTAAATCTAACACTTTAGGGCACATTTATGAGACTTTTGAGGGAAAGGCTACATTATTTTATAGAAAAATATTTTCCAAACAGTCCAAGAGTGAAACAAATCTTACATCGAGCATGGTTAATACAAAGACAGGATACGAAACTTAAGTCACGTGGGCTGATTTCTTATCGCCGATTGGTTGTTTCGTGCACCAAGATGGCGTTGCATGGTTCCATCATAGTGGAAATTTGTGACGAAACGATGGCGAAAATGTGACGCAAACCAGTCGAAACGCAGGGTTTCTTTGCCTGTATGTTGTTCTTTTTCGGAGTTTTTGGTGGCTGCTTTAATTTTTGGTGTATGTTTTTCCCTTCCTTTCTTGGCTTGCAGCGATGAGGACCCTTGAAAGCCACACTTGAACCTTCAAGGTAAGCACTTCTTGTTGTTCTGTTGTGTTATTTGTCCTTGTTTTTGAGAAAATTGCATCCCCAAAGTTGACCTTACCAGAGCCATATTTAGTAGACTAGGGGACGTTTTTGGGACACCTTTATTAAGAAAGTTCCTTCTTGTTTCTATTCATAACTACGATTGACAGACCTTTCAAGGATGGAATTGTCGCATAGGCATAGTTACAAACTGAGTGCTGTTATTTTCCAGCCATACACTTCGATTGAAAATGGCTGAAATTAGCTACATTCTGAGCTGGCGCCGAGTAAGTGTACGCACACGGTTTGTAAAGTTCCAATCGGCAAACGCTTTTGTGTCGAGAACTGTTTCGTCCAAGTAATATCCTAGATTAACCCTGGTAATTGTTCGTTAAGCAGTATGCTAATTTCGCTCATCCTTTAGTGTTGAAATAAAACGACTAAATTGCATATCCAGTGAATACAATCGCCTCACGTCGCTCCACGGAGCTTGTATTCGAAGGCACAGAAGAGACTCGAATAATTTTTCTACTTTTCCCTTACATAAACTTATAATTGTAGCGTGAATAGGAAAACACCTACTGACATTTTTTGTTCCTCCGTTTAGGCTCCTGAGTGTTGTTGTTATTTTGTAAACGGTGGTCCGCAAGCAAATTTCCTTTCTCTGCTGTGAGCTTTTATCCCCGCTTTTTATAGATTTCTCAAATATGACTTCTTGTCACTGGTTGCCCGTAAATAAGTTTGAATGGAAAATTAAACCCTTGTTTGAGCTGGGTACTTGAAACAGCAAGCCTCGACAGTTTTTTCCGCTAATAGGATTGTTAACTTATAAAATTCGACACTCGCTGGCAGAGCTTGTCGATAAAAGCAGGAAAGAAATCATCAAAACCGTGATAAAAATAATTAAAATTATTTCCAGTTTTCTTGTGGTTTGTAGAAAATTAGGCTATGCCTTTTTTGTAGGTGTGTTGTAGATGTATACACTTTAGTTTTCGTATAGTTTTCATGTAGTTAGGCTTCCCGTTTGGTGCATAACTATCGGGCGATGGAGTCATTCTTCGTTCTCACAAGTTTCATAGTCATTTACTCTGATTTTTGCCTCTACTGGTTTTGCACCCTCTAACTGTCTTCTCCAAGAGCAAGTACTCTTCATCCAATATGTATCGTCGAAGACAGAGATAGTGAAATATGCAGGGAAAAATAAGACACGCAAAACATCGGATGTAAGAGATTGAATGGCTCTCGATAATGTGATGCACATTTCCGAACTATGTTGAAACCGATCAAGTCAGCCAGTATCCTACCCAGTCTTTCTATTGTCCATGCATCGAGTTAATAGCCTTATATGGACACCCAAACATAGTAATAATCTTCGATGAGTCAAGAGCCATAATTATATAATGGCTCTTGATCAAAGTAGATTAGCCAATTGACACATTAATTTTGTAATTTATACGTTACATTCCTTTGTCTAAAAGGGACGCCAAAATAAAAAATCAAACCAAATTTTTTGTGTTCGACAAGTTTACGTTACAAAATGTTGCCAACAAATCTGGTGACGTATAGGCCAGCCACTTATACGTAATATACATCGCATATGAGGGCATTTTCAAGAAGCACTTTCCACTTCACTTCTAGGAAAACGACGTTATCAATCACGTGACTATTGCCGAATTAGGTTTTTTGTTGCTTTGACAAGATTTCATTAGCATTTAAAACTAACCAGTTGACTTCCGGCATTTAAACTTCAATGGGGCAATAAACATGAGCGGAAAAGTCGGGAGACTAGGCAGAGGGCTGTAGAGAATCGCTATTTCATCAGACGGCAGTGAATATTTGCAGGAAAGTAATGTCCTACCTGACGAAATTTTTTTGACGACCAAAAGAGAGACACGTGCCACAACGTTTTAAAAATTTTAATTCGTGTATAAAGTACATTTTCCTCATATATTGGCAAGTTTTTGATATTTTTTCCCTACAAATATTTATTGCTTCTGAGTATTTACCTCCATTTTCAAGGCAGAAGCAAACGTAAACTGAGCCAGAAGTTTAGAAGTTACGTAAATTGACCGATATTGCAAGTTTAAATCAAAAAGGAGACTTTCGTTTCGAGAGTTTCGAGAGTTTTGTAGAATCCTTTTTCAACTAAACTGTTTGTTTGCCGCAATTAAATTTCAACGTTTGTTAATAAAGGAGAACTTTTAAGAAGATAATAATCATAGAGAACCAATAACAAACTCAACCCACAGATGTTCTCGTCGCTTGGATTCGAACCGGGCCAAATTGGTGGGAGACGAGTGTTCTCACTACTGCGCCACCATTACACTTGGAACTTGGAACGCGCAACTTAGAAAGCCTTTGATCAACCTACCTACACATGTAGTGGATCCCTGGAGTTCGTACCCTTGATGGCAATGGCAGACGTACCCTCCATTCGTGTTATTGCACCACTGATTGCACGGACCGTCTTGACACTCATTTTTATCTAAAGTAATAAGTAGGGAAAGACGAGATTTTTACTGTAGCAAACATGCAAAATTTATAATAGCAACTTGTTACCTTATAATCTGTGCAGTTATGTTTCGGATTACTTCATACCCTGTTTAGCTGGACACGGTGGGGCCAAACCACCCCCAAAATGGCTTATCAAGACGTGACAATTTCGAATAATTTAAGAGCGCCTGTCCGTAAAAATCAAACATATCGCGGCAAGGGTGGAAAATTCGATTTCTTTCATATTTTAATGTTAGATAGGCCAGGGTATAACTAAAATCACTGTATGGTTTTTTTGGTGAAATATCCTTTTATTTCAGAGATAAATGCAAATAAGCAAAATACATTAAAATCGTCATTTGAGGCGCTCAATTATTACATGGGTTTGAAAGCCTCGCGTGCAAAAACGGATTTCTCTACCATCTTTAAAACATCACAGCCTTCTTTTACAACTTCTAAATATCTGTTAAAATGATTTGGGGAGATAGTGCTCTGTTCTTTGTATACAATATAATTTAATTTCGAAGGCATACAATTTACTTCAGTAAAAGTAATGCGTGAAAAAACGTAATTTTCACCATGTGCGAAACCTTCAAATCGATTGAGCTGCTGGTGGTTGAATTTTAGAAGGGTGGTCTACAGATTCCTGTAAAGATTTCTTTGGGCAAGTGATTAATAGCCACGCGAGAGCTTTACAAAATCTGTTAAAAATGCAGATTTTTGACCTTCTGCGGTCAACTTTGAAGTTGCGAGTCGGACATAAATTTAGTCCCTTCATTTTTCTAAACCCACATTAAGTTAAAATAAGCAGATAGAAAACCGTTTCGAATTGTTTTTACCTTATGATGAGCAGTAAAGGACCGGTCCAAAGATCATTTTAGCACGATTTTCCGGTCGTTCGTCGCTTGACCTCTGGTTTGTAACGTCTGCAATTAATACACCTCACACCCGACACACCGCGTCAACTTTCGACGTCTTCAAAGGTCGAATACCAGTCTTTGATCAGTTTTAGGCGAATTTTATCACGATTGCATCTTCTTCGACGGCTTAGCCGTTTGTTAAACAATGCTTTACACCGCAAGAAAGTATATATCTGACCGGTGCTACAACGGCACAATAATGTCGACGCTGTTCGTCACGCAATACTGTCATGTGCATTTTCACTAGGGAGGAGTGGTGGTGCTAAAAAGTACATGTAGCACACCTAGAAACCCTTTATACACGACTAAAGAGTTTTTTTAAAGCCGATTTATCAACGAATACTACGCATTTGCACGATGGCATTACTTTACTTTACCTTTCATGTATTTTTTTTTAAATTTAGTAATCCCAGCAAGATCAAAAGTCCTGATTTGTACAAGAAAGCGAACTGAGGATTCTGGTCGTAGCATAAAATGGTGTCATCGTTAGTTACGACATAATAAACATCGACAAAAAACTGAACCTGTTGGCACTGCGACAAAAAATAGAGTTTGGCCTTTGCAAAAAATTGGAAAATTTTGTAATTAACAAAACTTGAAAGATGCCTACAGCTTTTTTTCAGGCGACAAAATCCTCTGTTCCTTTTATTTTGACAGCTATCCTTCGTTGGGTCATCTTATTTCGCGAACGTTACCAATTAACGTTATTGGTTACACTAACAACTCGCGTGTCACATTTGCGAACAGGGTTTCAAAAATGAAAAAGAAGCAAGAATCATTGTTGCAGGCGCTAATCAAAAGGGGTATGCTGCTAGTTGCGGCCTGTTGTACACGAATTTTTGTGAGCGTAATCAGTTCTTGTTTTGTATAAAAAGGTTATGAAAGTTTTCTGTACAGATTCTTCGAGACTTGTGCCTTTTATTCGTTAAAACACCGAAGTCCCTTTAAACACTTTACACGAATGTATAGTGATTGCGGCCCGGGAGAGATGGGGATGGGTAATCCCTTATATCGGCGATATAGGTGTGTGCGGCGCCAAAGAGTATGGTTTTTTATCTCTTTTGGTCTAAAAAAGGGTATCAGTTTCGACCAGTTTTGTCTGGGTATGTTTTTTTAGAAGAAGCTACTTCTTCATAATTAGGCGATAAGACCATTTCCCTTTGGGTTTTAGGCTAACCGGGTACGTTTCGTAACAGTACAATTTTGTACAGTTTTGTGTCCTACTTAATCAAAGCGTATCAACATTGCCTTTAACATTGGTCTGACCTAGGGAACTGATTATAAGGCAGGTCTGAAATAGGGTATTGATTTAAGGATCAGGTCTGAAGTAGGGTATCAAATTTTTTATCAGGTCTGAAATAGGGTAGGAAAAATCTCAGATTTTGGTCTGAAATAGGGTAAGGGTTTCAGAAGGCGTGCCGCACAACCCCGCCAAAATTTTTCTGGAAGTACCCCCCCCTTCCCCGCCCCACACCGCCAGGGATTGCGTGAATAGCGCGCGCACTGCAAAAGATTGTGACGTCACAGCTCATGCAAACCCGACTTTTGCATGGGCTGACTTAGCAACAGAACGCGAACGTCAGTTGACGACGGGAAAGCGCGCGGAAACGACTAAACGCGACTTTCGTTGCCAATGTGCCGCTCTGTTGTTTGATTTGCGCGCGCCGTCGTCAACTAACGCTCCCGTTCTGTTGCTAAATCAGCCTAGAGTTGCGTTTGCAAGAGAGTTTGTAGTAATGACGTCACTATCTTTCACGGTGCGCGCGCTATATTTACGCGCTATCACTTTGCTCTTTATCTTCGAGATTATCCTCGTCATCAATAAGCAGATCGTCCCATTCCTCTTGCATTCCTACTATTTAAGAAAGTTATGAGGAGTAGAGAGAGGGCGCTTATTCGATAGGGGCGCTTGTTTGATATTATGGCCAACGGGGTGAGCGCTTATTCGGGGACGGGCGCTTATTAGAGCGTGGGCCCTTACCGAGGTAATACGGTACACAGATATGTAACAGGTTAAATCAAAAAGAGTTAAAATGAACGCACAGGACAGACCACCAAACACGTTCAGATGCATTTATACAAAATAGAAATACCGTTTGTTGAAAGAAAAAGTTAACAAGCGCCTCCCTTATTAAGCGCCCTCCTTCCAGTTTAAGCACCTCTCCTTTTAGCCGAGCTGGGGCGCTTGTTCGAGGAAATACGGTATTTACATGTGTTTATATTTGCAAAATATAACGAAGTTTTAAAGAGCTGTCTCGTAACACCACCACTACTATGATTCTAAGAGAAGGGTTGGGAAATGACCTTAATGTCAGAGGTCCCTAGACTGTGACTGCATGCTTACGTTAGAGTTTGTTCTACAGAATTGCAGCTGCAGACTTTTACTAAATTCTTTAACAACTCCAAGTACGACTTCCTTTCGGCAGGTTATGGCACTGATAACGGTCCTGATACCGTTTAATAAAATCACCCAGTCCGGGAGCTGACAAACAAAATTGTGAATAAACAAAATGACCAGTATTTGGATCTTAATAGGGAAAGACCGTGTCTAAGGGTATCACTATCTTAAGCTATAGATTGTCTTCATTCACTCTATACCGGAGAGGTTTTGTGCAGGCACAAAAAGAAAGCATATCCGATAGGGCTTCTGTTCACGCAAAGAAGGGTGATTTCGGTCCGAAAAAGCCCCGGGTGGTTACTTGGGTTAATTTTTTCTGGGTATGTGCCCGCTGGCCTCTCAGAGCCCCTACCCCATTATAGTCTATTTTGTGGCCAATTATAGACCCCATCTTAGTCACTTTTGGGCAAATATGTAATTTTCGCCATCCCAACCTTCACTTTCACTGTCTATTTTCATGAATTGACCCATTTTTTAGATTGAATGAGACCACTTTACTTTCCGTTTACAGTAAAAAAATTGTGGTACGTTTGCTAACCGTAAATATGACGAACAGTCTTACCCCCAAAAATCCGAAAATGTGTGACCCCATTCTAGTAACTCTATTGAAAATGCGACCCCGTTATAGTCAATCAGTCGTAAAAATGCAACCCCATCCAGCGGCGCATCCCCATTAGCCTCTTATAAGAAAGTACCCCAGCCCCCCCCCACCGGGGGGAAAAAGCAAAGCTGCGACGCGCCGATCTGTAAACAGAAGAGTCACATACCGGATAGGTGTTCATACTTTACCGGATAGCTTTTTCTGTCTGCACGAAAAGCTATCCAGTATAGTGATCGGCCTTAATTATTGCTGTTGTTCTCGTTGTGGCCGTTTGCTACTTCACCCTTCTCCACCCCGCTAAATTGGATTGCGTGACTTACAAACGCTGCCTGCAATTCAAGATGTGAGCACCGGCATTTTTGTGTCATTCTGTTGTAGCAGTCAGATGTAGTATCTGCGCGGTAATATTTTCAGATACTACATTCTAAGCAATGTTTAATAAATGACTGAGCCGTCGAAAAAGATGAAGTCGTAATGAAAAGCCCCGAAAGTTGGCCAAAGAATTGTATTTGTCCGGTGAATACGTTGACAGTTGGCGTGGTGTACAATTACACGTTACAAGACAAAGATCAAACGACTCAATAAGCGGGCTAAAATAGCCTCTGGACTCGTCTTTTACAGCAGATTTTAAGGTAAGAACATTTCAAAAGGGTTTCCTAATTGTTTATTATAATCTACTGCGAGTTTAGACAAGTGACGGGACGAAATTTTTGTCCGCCTCGCAACTTCAAAGTTCGGTCACGGAGTCAAGTATCTGCATTTTTAACAGATTTTGTAAAGCTCTCGCGTCGCTATTAATCATTTGCCCAAAGAAATTTTTACAGGAATCTGTAGACCATCCTTCTAAAATTCAACCACCAGCAGCTCAATCGATTTGAAGGTTTCGCACATGGTGAAAATTACGTTTTTTCACGCATTACTTTTACTGAAGTAAATTGTATGCCTTCGAAATTAAATTATATTGTACACAAAGAACAGAGCACTATCTCCCCAAATCATTTTAACAGATATTTAGAAGTTGTAAAAGAAGGCTGTGATGTTTTAAAGACGGTAGAGTAATCCGCTGTTGCATGCGAGGCTTTCAAACCCATGTAATAATTGAGCGCCTCAAATGACGATTTTAACGGATTTTGCTTATTTGCATTTATCTCTGAAATAAAAGGATATTTCATCGAAAGAACTATACAGTGATTTTAGTTATACCCTGGCCTATGTAACATTAAAATATGAAAGAAATCGAATTGTCCACCCTTGCCGCGAAATTTTGAATTTGTCTGATTTTTACAGACAGGCGCTCTTAAAATAACTTTGCTTGCTTTTACTCTTTCCCAGAAAAAATTGGCCTGAAAATACGAAACATCAGGCCAATCAAAATCGCTTATAGAATGACACCAAATGTCAAATTATGACGTCATATTTGATGACGTCATTCATACGTAAATTTTAGTACTTTTGAATCTCCCACATTTTTATGTCGTGTTTGAAAGAACTATTTAAGAGAAGTTGAAAGCTGAAAAAATTTTTTTCAGTATCTCAAATGTGAGCTGAGATATGACATTTTGAATTTGGATAAATTTGGAGCACAAAAACGGGGTACCCACCTTTTAAAATAAATATTAATTTCAGAGTTTTTTTGTCGAGTCACCCTTGCTGTTTAAGTTACACATAACACATCTTTACTGTCGAAAGCTAAAGGAAAAAGAAAAATTTGAAAAAAGAAATTCCTAACTTCGCAAAAACCCGGAAAACAGTTTTGTGACGTCATAAAATGTCACGTGATCATTTTTTGGTTTGCTTAAATTAGTGTTTTTGAGTCAAAAATCAAAAATCTAAAATGATACGATTTTGGCCAACTATAAAAGGTATGTGTCACCGGAAAATCAGCTTATTTCGCCAAAAACTGTGAAAAAATATCAGAGGGATCGTTTTTTAAGAAAAAAGTATGGTTCCGGGGGGTGAAATCAAATTTCTTTGAAGTCTTATAACTCGGGTTGTACGTGTCGTAGCCAGAAACGGTTTTCACTGTTTTACTCCTCTTCTAAAGCCCTTTCAAATGATATAAGTTGGACTTTGAAATTATAAACTGCATTTAACCCATTTTGGTGACGTCAGCCTTTGTGACGTCACAATTTAACATTTTGCGTCAAACAAAAACTTAATATCATTTGGTCAGCAGTCGTAGTCTATCTGGAACGTTTGGTCGAGAAATGAAAAGAAATGTAAAAAATACGTAAATTTAGCCTTAATAAGCCGTTTGGGGGGTGGTTTGGCCCCGCCGTGGAGGAACTCATTCTTCGCGAGAATTCGCAATTTCTCTGCCATAACTTTGCTCCTGCCAACGATCTCACCGGCTATGCAGGCTAATTATTTTTTATTACTCTTGTAATTAAAAGCATTTTTTTCAGAAAAGTCAAATATGTTCTTGAATACAGATAACTTAGGTTTTATGCGTTATCTGTTCAGTCGCTGCCCAAGAAGATGAATTGAACTTCTAACTTCAAATTTTCACTTTAATGTACGTTTGGAATGTTTACCTCTCAGCCTTATCTAAGCGCAAACCAATACCGATTTGGACCCTGTGCCTTAAAAATTCGGACGCTTTTATTATCGGACACTATTTTAGCCATTTTTGTACATATGTTCGAAGTAGTGTACAGTTTCTTATGCGTAAAACGTGTACCACGAACGTTGAAATCAATAAATTTCAGATTTTCAGCATGCTTCATCGCCCTTCGATATGATTTGATAAACAGAAACCAGCAGTTTGGTAATTTTTAAACTTAAGTAAATTAATTTTGTTAATAAAGTTAATGCTTGGTTGAGACCACTGTAAAATTTTTCCTACCTAGACACCACGGTTGGCGTCCAGTCCACTCTCCTCCCGTGCATGTCCGACTCGAAGAACCAGTCAAGACGTACCCACTATTGCAGGTAAAATGCAGGGTGCTTCCTGCATTGTTGTTAGACGAAGAAACTGTGCCATAAATTGGTGCACCAATTACCGAACAGGAAGAAGCTGAAAAGGGATACAGAAATTATGTTTGCTCTTTCGATAAGAATAGATTATTAAGATCTATTTGCTCAGTCAGTAGGAAAGCCGACTGACGGATTATCTTTCTGTTTTTTTTTATGAAATGGAATCTCATTAGTTTGAAGTGGAGTACATTAACACCAATGACGTCACAGCTTTTAGTTTTTATCGCATGAATAAGGTCATAAGATCAGGCCATGTGCTATTTTTAGTTGGACTAACGGCTTGGATAGGTTTTCTGGTTCTTTGCTTTTTGATTGATTGACAAAAAAGAAATGCATTTATTTTTTTATTCATGTTGTTGAAGGAATAAGGGAAAACTCATAAAAATACGGAGTCGCAAAGTAATTATCTTCTATTTCCTACCGCTTTTATTGCCAAACAAATTGTTAAGTTCCGGTTCACTGGTTCTTCGCACGAAAATCATACATATTTAACGAGGACGAAGTCAAAGTAGCTCTTTCTACCACGAAAAACTATTTTTTTCCCTTTTTCTCCTCCACCACCACAACCACTATTTCAAACTAATGAAATTCCACTTCAAAAAAACAGATAACGAATAAACGGTCCCTACTATACTACTGTCATGTATTACTCAAGCAGGAAAATTGCAAGTTTTCAAGCTTTGCGCACAAGTATAAGGCCACGTCCACACGAATCCCAATATTTCTTAAACCGCATACTTTTTTACCCGAATTGGTCTTGCGTCCTTACGAAACCAGTGAATCCGGTCACCGAAACCGCTTTGTTTTGAAACCGCTGTCCAAAGCGTTTTAAGGCCCCGTTCACATAAATCCATGTAAAATTTTGTGGTTGAAAACGTCTGGATTCATGTGGACATGGCCTAAAACATTCGTTCGTTCCGCTCTTTAATGTAACGCTCACCAGTCTCGCAATTTTTTCCATGATAACCATCTGCACATTGGCAAATGTAGTCGTTGTATCGATTGACGCAAGTTCCACTGTTTTGACACGGTGATGTGGAACATTCATCCGTATTGTCAGGGGGTTTGGAAATGGCTGAGAAAAGAAGAAAAATGGAGCAATAATTTATTGACTTATTAAGGTTTATAGATAGGGGAGCAAGGGTAGCGCAGTGGGAAGAGCAATCGCCTCCAAAAAATGTTGTTCACGTTCATATCCTGGCCGTCGACTCTATATGTGGTTTGTTGCTGGCTCTGTCCCTTGCTCTAAGAGATTTTTTTCTGGAAACTTCCTTTTTCCCCTCTTCTAGAAAAACCAACACTTTCAAATAAATTCAAATTGGATGTGAAACGCACGCTTAAACGAGTTCTTAAGAGCTCCTTAAAGCTTCGGGGATAAACAAATTATAATTTTCACAATAAATCATGACACCGTGCTGAACTGAAACCGAGCATGGGTGGCGAGAGGTGAGACCAATCGCCTTTAACCATCGTGGCCCCGGAGATTCGAACCCAGAGAAGTTGACACTGGGGGATTAAAGGGACAGGTTAACGGTTAAGCGCATGCTCATTAATTAAATTACGTTTTTCCAATTTATTATTAATTCTATCGGTCAATAATTTCACTCACACGTATCTCAGTGATCTCAGCGTGTATTTCAAAGTAGAAGTATATTTCAGACTAACCTGAAGTAGGATGGAGGAGTACTAAAATCACAGAAAAAATCAGTGGATTATGCCAACACGACCACCGTTGAATTTAAAGTTGACTTGAAGGTTTTATTCCATGGTTGATTAATTTACAGCTATTTGCAAATATCTAAGTTGATCAAGTTCAAGTGACTGCCAGGGGAGTGTGCAGATTGGTTCTTTGACAACATTATGACATTATCATATTGCTTGCAGAGATGATACAGCATGTCCCGGCAGAAAAACAGCATTTTGATAAAGGCATGCGCTTAACTGTGAACCTGTCCGCTTAAGTTTGTTGTAGGTTCTATCCCTTGCTCCGCACGTTTTGCTTACGGTAGTAATGTGCGCTGTGGATGTGCTACATCAAAATCATCATTTATTCATTTATTTTTGTTAATTTTATTTTATTCCCTTATTTTATTTATTATTTTACTTAATTTTTTAAGAGACTACTTACGTGGTGAACAGCCATACACTTCAACCCTCATTGTAATAGCTGACTTCCAGGTTTGTGGTCGAAATCTTAAATACATTGCTTGAAACACATGAACTTCATTACGAACCACTGTATTTTGGTCTGTGTTGCCTGTCAGAATCTGTAGAGGTAAAAGGGAACAACGTCTTTGAAGCAAACTAAGTTGTTTGTCTTGTTTGTGCTATGGCCATTAATAATATCATTAATAATATCACTAGAGATATGTTTCCCTACCCGGGAAACACATATCACTAATCGCTAAGGATGTGTCTTTCCCCTTCCCGGGAACACATATCTCTAGGGATATCTGTTTCCCTTGCCGGGAACACATATCTCTAGGGACATCTATTTCCCTACCCTAGTGCTTTTAAAATATTACGCAGCTACAATTTACCTTTTTCAGCATTTTCCCACTTTCGTAAGATCATCAAACTTTAAACAGATTCATGTCAGGTGGAAAATTTTAATGAGAGTTGTTTACCCTTTGCTCCTCCAGACACAATTCTTATTACTGCAGCATACATGTAAATCGTTTATTTATTATCATTATTCTTTTTGTTTAGCTTTTTGTTAGAAAAAAAATCTTCAGAACCATATATATTTGCTTACTTTTTGTTTCCAACAAAGATAAGACAATTACATTACTACTTCGTTACTGACAATATATTATATACTATTTATACTATATATATTAGAAAAACAACAACTTTGCACATTCATCAAGCTTTTTTGTACACCGCCGTCGTTGCGCGAAGTACAACGTGAAAGTGCCTAATTTCACACTTTGCGAGAACGGGAACACAAGATAGAGCGATTTTCGTATAAGCTAGAAAAATGGTTTCGTTAAGTGTTAGTTATTTGTTTTATCAGCCAATGGATGAAAAGATAAAAACATGGACTCTTCTTCTTCGTTTTCGTAGCCGTCGCCGTCGTTTTTGCTTAAGCTCTCAATTTATGTGGTAAGGAGATATTTGATGGGATTAAGCCTCTTACTTGTGGATAGTAAATCCAGGTTGAGCCATCGGTGCTGTATTCGAGTTTGTATGTCGTAACCCATTGGGTATCGTCTGAGCTGCCTTGACTAGCCACCCCTGAAATCTGATAAATCTGGCTAAATTTGATTTGCAGCCACTGATGTTCGTCGTTAGTTAAAGCTGACCAACCGCCAATTTGAGTAATGCGTCCCTGAGAGTCGAATTGGTTTTGGTAATTCAGGCGACCCCCAGACGGAGCATGCTCTGGGTCTAACTGGCTCGACGCTGTCATGTCATCGTCAAGAACAAGACGACCGGTAGATACTCCAAGGGTTTTGAGACAGTCTACATAGTGTATCATAAATACAAGAAATAAACCATACATGTCATCTAAACATGAAACTATGAATGGCTAATAAATTTTCTCAAATTTATAATTTTCACACTTTATGAACGTCGATCTCTGAGTTTCTTAAGGTATCTCAGAATTGCTATGTACTCCATACTTACTTAACTCGAAAAGTCTGGAATTGGACGAACGAGCCAGCGCACTGTTAATTGATGATTTTGCACTCATGCGACATATGTTGCTTGAGTTGTCAAATTCAAATGATCTACAGATGAAGGCAGATTCTGACAGGCAAGACGATGCACAGGACTCCGCGTCGCCGTTGTTAACTACTTTGTCATCGCTTCCTGATATGTAGGACTTGTATGTTACACGAAACTGGCGTTGTGCAGCAGAAACTGTTGGGAAAATGACACCAGGATTACATTTCTAACAATTTCACTACACACTATCAGCAATCGGGCCACTGAGTTAACTGCTAACAAGAGATTCAACCTTGAAAATGTCAGTTACTGGTAAGAGTAAAAAAGAGCAGCAAACATACATTTGCTTTCAAAATCGAAGTGTTCCTGTTCTAGTAATGTCAATATATAATTCCATTGTATCGTGTAAATTAAACTACGTGCAAACGGACGCAACAACTTCGAACATTGTGTGACCAAAAATGGTGGGAGTTATTGTGTCCGTGTTGGCAGTGTTGTGCAAACGGATGCAACAAGTCCCAACAATGTTAGGACTTGCACTGCATCGTGGGAAGTTTACAACCCATACGACTTTATAAACTCCAAGACCATGCTTAATGCGCGTTCGAGGCCCGAACAATGTTGGAAGAGCTATGCAAACGGATCCAACATTGTTGCGCTACGCTTTGGCGACCAAGGAACAAAAGAAATTTTTGAGTTGTTGGCTCGAAAGTTTGGCCGGTTTCAAACTTTGAGCAACAACTCCCAACAACACGCAACAACATGCAACAAGGTGTCAGTTTTTTTCTTTCTAATCATGCCTAACAAATCCAAATCGAAACCGAGCTCTGATGTATTACTAAAAGAGATTCTTTTACACTGTTTCGTAGAACCCTGAAGAATTCTATGGTTAATCGTTATATTAATTTTTTTTGCCTTAGCTCTAGAAGAAATACTTTTCATTAAAAATAATATATTCTCAATTATGTGTGTAATTGTATTCTATTGGGGTCATCCACAAGATTAGCCTTTGCTACTTGGATGATTCCAACTCTCTCACTACTTGATGTTACTATTTTTTTATTTTATTAGTATGTTGAATTGAGCAAGTTAAAGAAATCCGTCCATCCATCCATCCATCCATCCATCTACCTACCTATCTACATCTAACAATGTTAGCAGTTGTTGGCCAACAATGTTGCATCCGTTTGCACGGGGCTTAAAAAAGAGCATTTACTTACAGTCACATGCGTATGACTTATCGGTCACGTGATATTCTCCAAACAGCTGTTCTCTAAAATCGGCCCATGCGGCAATATTCCCTTTCACATAGTCACAACTGTATACCAGATTATATATGTCATTAGCAGAGAGTACATAGTCAAAAACATTCATCTGACTAACATCGCCAATCAAGTTCTCCTCAGTATTAAACCCACCACCTAACTCGTCTTGGTCTTGGCCAAGAATCATCACACCACCACCATTTACCACTTGACCTTTTTGAAAAGGCACTGAGGATGCTTTAGTTTCCACACCGTCTTTGTATGCGTGCCACGTGCCACCAGCGCTTTCCCACGTGATAGCCACGTGGTGCCACTGGCCGTCGTTAGCTCGCAAGCCTGTGAATGCGGTTTGGTTGTTGACGAACAGGACGAAGCTTGCGTACTCTTGAAGAGCAAAGGCGTTGTCTTGCACAACATCTCCTTCTTTTGAAGCATATGATATCACGGTTCCTGGGTTAGTATCATTAGTCCGTATCCAAAAAGCAACAGTTATGGCATCAATGTCTGGAATTGTTTTCTTTATCTTGGAATATGACTTCACCGCTCTTACTTGAAAAGACAGATCGTAGTCGGATGAGAGAGCTGAAAGAAAATAACTTCAACATAAAAACCGAGAAAGCAACACCATCTCTACGACTGTTTGACTTAAGGTATTAGGAGAAAATTTTAAAGCATTGATGTTGATCGCTGCGATCACTACGGTTGCTAAGATAAATTCAAAAACCGTTCAGCGGTCGCAACGATTCTTTCCCGATCGTTCCGACAACATAAGCAGAGATAAACGTCAACTCAATCTTAAAGCTGGTTTCAATATCATTTGTACGATTGCGGTGAGATCTCTGCGATCACCGGAATTTTTAAGTTAAACTGTTTGTATTACAATGGACGAAGTTCGTCTAATTTTGTGGCAACGTTTGCAGCGTACTGTAACACAAGAAAAGGGTTGTAATCATGACGCTGATTTTAACGTGTACCTCGTGTGCAGCGACATCCATAGTATGTAGGCTTGCAGAGACACCTGTAACCAGTGAGAGTATTGACGCATGTAGCGCCCCTTTTGCATGGCTGTCCTACGCACCAATCAATAGCATACTCACAGTTAGCTCCAGTATAACCCTTCGGGCACTGGCAACTGTAAGAACGTAAACCGTCCACACAGGTGCCGCCATTCTTACATGGTGCGGCCGCGCAATCATCGATGTTGAATTGGCAATTGACGCCACTGTATCCTGCCTGACACTTGCAAGTGTAGGAGTCAACCCCGCTGATGCATACTCCATTGTTCTGACATGGATTTGAAGCACATTCGTTGATGTTCATCTCACAGAACGTCTCGCTGTAATCGACGGGACATTGGCAGTCATATTTACCAGCTTTATCAATGCAAACGCCATTTACACAGGGTTTTCTTTGATTGCAGAGGCTAAACGGAAGATCACATTCATCTCCAGTGTACTCGTCAGGGCAAAGACATTTAAACTCATTGACCTACCAATACGAAATCAGAGACGGTTTGGTTTTACCGACAAACTATAAATTATCATCAAGTAGTGCCATTCTTTATTTCACAGACCGGGATGTTTTACAGGGCCCTCTTCTTTGCCTCATACAGGGCCCTCTTCTTTGCCTCAAAATGTTAAATCCTGTTGATATACTGAGGGTAAATTTCCCGCAAATTCCTTACTCCGTGACATCTGCTGAGAGTTGATCGAGAAAACCGAGATTTCATAAATAGTTTCAAGGTTTCACTTGCTTCGTTATAAACTTTTTTTTTTATTTGAAACTAAAATCGTCTGTAAACTCATAGTTCAATGTCCACCATAGCCTCCAAAGCAGACATTGTTGGGGCTTCTTCGCCCCTTCTTCGTACGCCTCGTATAGCTCAGTCGGTTAGAGCGCAGTTATAGCTTAATACATTCAGATGTGGTGGAATCAATCCTCCGCGGCGTTTATCTTCGCTTGCTTAAGACGTATCACTTTCATCAAATCAAATTTGGCAATTTTTCTGATTTTAAGGGCGGTGCCCACTAATGAGAAGTATTTTTACCCAGATAATGACTATGTGAGACAAGTAGATCATATCAGGGGCTATTGAAATCCAAAAAGAAAACTGGGGGTAACCACGCATTTTTCAGAGGTAACTGCGCTTCAATATGGAGAAAAACGCTGAATAGGCGTTTTTTTAGAAAAATGGTAAATAGTTATTTTTTCGCAAAATTTCAGAGTGTAGACGTGAACTGGCACAAATGCAATGAGAATTGTAACAAGGTTTCAAAATAGGCAACAAATGATAACATAACAACTGCTATTTATACGTCTTTTTTTGAAATATCAGCACAACTTGGAAGTTATCAGCAGTTACCCCTCTCCACGCGTTTGCCTCAAAAGTAGTGTAAACGGCATTTTCCCCCAACCAAAAATTGATTGTTTGCTGAGTAGGCTTATTACTTTCATTTGGTAAGACGAAAAGTAGGGGTTACCACGCGTTTTTAGAAGTTAAATTGGTTGGTTTCGACCTTCACTTAATCGCTTTGGGGGTTGTTTACAACTTTCCCCATCCCCTCCCCGGTCAGTTTCAGTACTGCTTCACTCAACGCGGAGTACTCTGGGATATCCACAATGGCTAACTATAACAGTCAGAGAAAACAACAACACACGGAGGAGAGCAAAAACAGAAAGTGAAGCAGGACATTTCATGGACTCTAAGGAAACCAAATTATACTATTTCATTCAACTGGAGCTTCTCCGTCTCAAACATTTAACCAAAAGTTTTGGAGAAGAGTAATCTCCAAGGTTTTAGAGATTACTTGCAGCGCACATAGAGTAATATGGCGAGCTCAAGATGCACGGCTGGTGCTGTAAACAAACTACTGTACTGTAGTGGAAAATAGTTGACAGGTACTCCTTCGATCGTTTGCTTACCTGTACATGCCTGAACTGTAGACGTAATATGGATTGTAAACCCTCTATCGTTTTTTTATCATTTTACCGGGTACTTCGATCGAATATGCTATTAAACTTGCATACAATCAATGAGCTTATATCTGTGCTTTGCGCTATCTCTTTCGGGCTTTGCCACAAGTGTCATATGATATAATGATTTGCATTGACTCAAGTTCCATACATGAGCTCTCTTTTAAAAAGCTGAATGGTGTGAAAGTAGTTGTACCGAATGCGTTTATGTACCGTCATATATGCACTGGGCTATAATGATCATTTTATATATTTCGTTTTGATTTTTCTTTACTGTAGCATTCTGTGTCATGATCATTCACTATTTTTCGTTTCTAAATGTTAATTTTAGACTTAACAGTGTCTGTTAAACCTAAGACAGTCTTACAATGGAAATACTTTGTTTTACCTTCCATCTTTAGTTTGTAAACAGCCAAATGGCAGCTATGTCTTAATATCCAGATTATGTGTGCCGTGAAATTGAACCTTAAGAAATACTATCTACACGACAAGCTGCCAAATGAGTCAATAATTTCAATGCTTAGTAATGCCAAAATGCTTAAATAACAATGATAATAGTAAAAAGCATAACAATTTTTTTATCATTTTTTCCACGATGAAAGCGTTTCCTTTGCGGTCCGCAACTATTTGTGAAGCTCCGATCTCAGCAATCCAAACAATCTTGTGATAGTTTTTTTCTTGTTTGTTCAACAAATAAAAGCCTCGGACTCTCAATAAAACGGACATCTGTATGTACTCGAACGCTTTAAATCTATCTTCTGGTGAATAATTACGTAAACCCTTACACAATTAAAGAAATATTCGGGAAAGTGTTTATAGCCGATTAGCCGATAAAACCCAAAGGACGCGAGTGAAAGGTGAGCTTGCAGTTTCTCGATTAAGCGGAGGACTTAGAGCTATTTTCCTTCTGATTTACTGATCCTTGCCTATTAAGGGGTTTTTTAATACCCAAGCTCTAAGCGTAACATCTTGAAGCAATAACTTTTGATGTTTTAGTATTGACTTTTGTTTGACTATAAAATGTTCGGTCAGATCGATCATCCGTAGAAATAGCAAAACTCGCATATACTTCTTCGGTTTTCAAAGAATTGACAAGGTAAATAGAAATTATTTTTTATCTGTTGAAAAACAACGCATCTTTTCCACAAGAAATAACTCGAACCTCCCAGACTTACATGAGACAAAACCAGTCCGCGTGTTCGTGTTGCGCATTTCTTTCGCGTCGCGCGCGACTACCTTGGCATGCGCAGAAAATGTGCGCAGTAACAATAGTGGGCACCGTCCTTGAGGCGTTCTTTCTGGTGATGTCGACGGATTTGCCCTAACTGGTCCATTTCAAAAGTTCAAAAAGCATGGATGGGTCTATTTCTCACTTTACGCTCTTTTAACAGATAGCCTGTTTACATTTGACGTCCACACGAGTCCGTCTGAGTTTGTAAACGTATCTTTTTTTTTCCATACGGGAACAGTGTCCGCAGGGTGGAAAACTTCACAAACGGATATATCTGGTTCTCGTGTAGACAGTCGTAATGACCAAGTGTGAACGCGTGTACAAAACAGGCTTGAGTGCATGACATAGTCTGAGTGAGGATCAAAGTCATCTGAAGGCGATGGTAACCTATGTTATACTGTACGCATCTTATTAAAATTGTCATTTGTCAGTCAGAAAATACACTGGAATGTCAGTGTAGCTGTGAAATACCTTGTTGACACAGGTAGACGATTGATAACATGGTGCGGATAAACACTCGTTTAATTCTTTCTCGCAGTTCACACCGTTATATCCAGGAGCACAGTCGCAGCGATAAGATTCCTTCGTGTTTACGCATTTGGCACCATTCATGCATGGCTGGGAAACACAGGTATCTACCTCTGAAAATAGAAAGCCAGTGCTTAGTTTACAATTAAAACAAGTATCATTTATGCTTGAGTGGCCTAAATTAAAGGGGAAATGGCAAGAGGGCATTTAATCCTCCTTATAATGAAGAGAATGATCACTTATTCTTTCTCAGGCTTGATTCTCAGGAAATCTACGTGATAGCAACTACGCTAACGGTCCACTCTCAAAAAAGGCTCCTTTGCGTTTTAATTAAAGGCCCTATTTTCACTCTGGAATCCTTTTTGGATTCTACTAAGGCCACTGCTTCATAGTGTATTCATAGTTGGCTTAAAGATTTCGAATTTGTTCTGTGGATCCTTACATCAGCTCTGAGATAATTGTGTCGAAATAAAACGACAGAGGCACTGCTGGACACCACGTCACTCACAAAAAATGATTCAGAGATGGGGAAAAACTGATACAACAAAAGGCTGATTAAAAATATTGCGTCGGGGGAAAGGGGTACTCAACCAACTTTTACAAATGGAAGGCTCCATCCCGAGGTCTAACCCTTCATTGGTTTTTAAATAATAAATTATACTATCACTGTTATTGTTATCGTCATCCTGATAGTGATCGTTATGGTGATCGTCATCGTCATCGTCATCTCATGATCTGTTCTGTATTGGCATATCTCACGAGATTGTGATGTTTTCTTTTTCTGTTACTGTTTGGGGCTCGTGATCGTACCATTTCTCTTTTGTGTTTATATTAATATGTTCCAGTGTAGGTATGTGACGGTCTTGTTGTATCTGTGTAGGTATTCAGTTTTGGCCAGCTCAGGGCACCTTGCCACGACATGGTCAATGGTTTCCTGGAATTGAACGCATTATAATCCGGCACACTGGGTCTGTACCATTTTTTAGGATCTTGCAGCGATAGTAGTTGGTCTTGATGGTCTGGTCTATTGCAGCTATGATAAAGCCCTCTGTTTCGGATTTGATCCCAGCTGCTTTAAGCCATCGACTCTTTTTGTGCATTGCCAGTGCATTTGTTTATCTTCCCATTTTTGCTTCAGTTGATCTTTGGCGCTTTGCTTTACGCTTAACTTTTCTGGCATAGACGGTTGGAGCTTCGGTCTCAGGTTGCAGTGTTTCGGGGAGGTCGATCTCTCTTCTAAACATTGTAGCCTGGCTAGCTACCGAGTATTTTTTCTTTGTTTGTTTGTTCGTTCGTTTTTTTTTTTTATTATTATTATTATTTTCATGCTCTTTAGCAATCACGAGACGGGGGTTATTTTTGGCCGGTGATAAGGTAAGTATCTAAGCCTTTTGTAACTGTTTTGTAAGTAGTTTCCAGTTGGATCAGGCCTCTGTAGAAGGAACAAGTGTAATAAGTGGACCCAAGTGTAATAAAGGTCCCATCTGTAATAACATTTGGACCCAAGCGTAATAAAAGTCCCATGCGTAATAACATTTTGAACCCAAGCGTAATGAAGGTCCTATCTGTAATAACATTTGGACCCAAGTGTAATAAAGGCTGTATTTGTAAAAGTTACCTTTATACTCAACCTGGTAATATACCAACAACAAATTATGGCCAATAAGAGGTAAAGAGTGTAAAATCACGTGACCTGCGGAAACCAACCATTGCCATTTAATTTTATCTTCATGGCTTTCACGTCACAGTCAAACTGAATTTTACACTTGGTAGTTCGGCTAGAATAGTATTTACTATTAGCTAAACGACACTGGCCGTTAAAAAATAAGGCCATTGTCACTTAGAATTATTAACCAAAGAAAATTTGTGCTCAGTACTGCTCTACTGAGCTCTTACGAGAGTGTTTTTTGTTGCTGCGGGCGACAAGAGGAGCCCGCAATCCTAATCTCCAAGTTGTTATTACGCACGCATCGAATGCACGAAGTCAGCTTTCGTTTGAACTTCCACTAAGAATAAATGGAATGCACAGAACGTAATTTGATCACGTGCATTTGGACCTTCTACCACTCGTAATCTTATCACGCGTGTTTTCACCATCTGTCACGTGAAACGTACCAAGCACAGCGCTGGAGCAAAAGCGTTTTGACCTTCGATAGTTGTCGCCCGCACTCCGTAACCTTTGGTTATTACTACTTATAACGTTAAAATTCTTATGTTATCTTTATTCGTTCTAACATGATTTAAGGAAATTCTCAATTTTTTTAAAGCTATATAATTTGTATTCAGCAACGGCATATGCTTTAGTAGATTTCACTAATGTATCAATTTTAAATTAAAGGTACTCCTTTTCAGTACAAGTACAGACAGTCATGAAATCCTATCAATAAAATTCAGCCGTTAGTGAAATACTGAAAATAACCAAAAGACAGAGGGGAAAAATAATAACAGATTCCACTGGACTGAAAACTGTTTAGCCTGACATTTTATATAAGCGAACGCGAATGACATATTCATTTGTTCTGGAGCGATGAATTTTTTTAAAAGCACGTTTCATAGCCAGTTATAAATTTGCCAAAACTTAAACCGAGAGCTATTGCTAGATTCTGTGCTATTTTTTCTTCGTTCCGTTGGTCACATGACCCTTGATGTCAGCCTTGTAAGTTAAGATACCCAAGACTGTTGTGAACATGTTTCATATTATTTCAGTCATAACAAATAAGACCTTTATTACACTTGGGTCCAAATGTTATTACAGATAGGACCTATATTACGCTTGGGTCTAAATGTTATTACAGATGGGACCTTTATTACACTTGGGTACAGTTATTACACTTGTGCCTTCTACACCTCCACCAGCCTCATTTCTGGAGGAGGTACATTCTATCCACGTCTGATTTTGGGCGGTACATCCTTTCTTAGGTGACTAATTTTCTTGTTCTATCTACAATTTTCTGATCCCTTCCATTTTTTAGTCAACGATGTTAAAGCTGTAAGCTACGACTGGTTCAAAGTTCAAAGTATATTGAGAGATTTTACAAAGTATTCAAGAATACAGACAACACTAACTCGCACAATAGCTAGAGCTAATCTATGGGGTAGTGGAGAGACCGTTTACAGAGTAAATTTAGTAGTACGTTTCACATAATTAATAACCCATAAATAAGCAGGTAGTATGAATATATATGCGAATAGATAATTGATGATAATGACTGAAAGGAAGAAAGTGGGTAAATAAAGCTACTTTGGACATACATTTTGAAACTTATTGATAAGGGTGGGTATGCCAACATAATTATCCTCTTCTTTTAAAACTTGCAAAAGTTGATTTTCAATATTTTTCTTGAACACATAATAATAACGTAGTTCTTGGGGGATGCTATTCCATATTTTGGTCCCTTGTCTTGAAGGGGATTTATATTTTTTATTACACCTTGAGTGTTTTATGTGGTAATTGCCAGCTGAAGAAAATATTGTATTGTAATTATGTATCTCATTTGAACGATTAAAAAGACTAGAAGTGCTGGATGGTGTTAACTTATTGAAAACATCATGCATTATAATTGAAATGGATTTAAAATAAAGCATAGTCACTGGAATGGTATTGGAGGAGACAAAAAGAGGAATGGCATGCGACCTATATGGAGCAAAGTATATGTGGCGAACGGCACGCTTTTGTAGGGCAAGAACTTGATTAATATAAGTTTGTGTAGGTTGGCTCCATACAAGAATCCCATAGGATAAAAACGGGAATACCAAAGATCGATAAATTGTTAGCAGTGTACTTGTGGGAACATAATATCTTAGTCTGGAGAAAATACCAATAGTTTTGCTGATCTTTGAGGTAATGGGCCCAATATGATATTTCCAGCCTTTCTGACCTTTCATTGTATTCTGGCCATTATGGCTCTTGATTCTGGACGGTTAGCTTTAGGACACTGCTTTAGGCGGGCCGAATGATAAGATATGTATTGGAAAATTAAAGTCTTGCAAGACGCTCCGACGAAGTTGTGTAGCAGTTTTTTCCTTATGACCAGAACGATGATGCTGGTCCCGTTTGTATTGCGATTTTACCATCCCGATAAAACGGATAAAATTGATCTTTTAATCCATGACTCAGGTTCAAAAATGGCCGTAAAGATAAGCAATCGTGTCAAAAATGTTTGTATTAAAATTGTTTCAAGTTAGCGCTGGCTAAATTCAAAAACTTGCCAATTCAAGACGAAAAATATACTTTAATCAGGAACTAAAAGATGCAAAACGCTCTGGCCACGTGACTGATGACGTCATGTGCCTCTTTTGGTCGTTAAAAAATTACCAGGTAGAAAATTACTTCCCTGCAAATTTTCACTGTCGTGTGATGAAACGTCGACTCTCTACAGCCCTAGGCCTAGCCTACCGACTTTTTCGCTCATGTTTGTTTCACCTTAAATTTTTAATTTCAGTAGTCACACAACCAAAACCTTAAATATGCCATTATTTTAAACAGGATAATAAAATCTTGTCACAGCGACGAAGAAACCTAATTCGACAATAGTCACGTGACTGATGACGTCATTACCCTAGAGGTGACATGGAAGATATTTTATGGCGAATGTTATCTTCTCTATTTCAATAAAAATATATAATTTTCCCTGTAATGTTTGTATCTGTAATCAAATGGTATACTCGTGAAATTAGGGAATAATTTCACGCGCGTTTTGTCCAAATCCTAATAATTTCCATGGCAATTTGGTAATTTCACATGTGAAATTACAAATTAACGCTGAAATTTCGCGCCAAAATTAAGGAGTAATTCGTCACCTATGATATTAAATTTAAAATCAACTGTGGAAAGAAAACATCACGTTCCTTCTGGTTTTAAATTAAGAAGAAACAGTTAGGAGAAGTATTACCTCCACAAAAATCCACCAAACTTGCCCCAGTACCATGGGTAGATTGTTGTCCCGGACACGGAAGACAGGCAATCTGCCCAGACTCTGGTTGATAAGTACCAACAGGACATGGCGAACACGGCTCTACTCCGTTGCCTGAATACGTTCCTGGAGCGCACTGCACTGTATAAAAGGAAATAGTATACTAGAGTGTATGAGCAAGAAAACAGATACGTAATGATTCTAAACACCATTAGTTTGAGTGCCAAGCAGCAAATAACTTGCGTTTTTCGTAGCATTTGACCGTTTCTTGGTCCCCTTCTGTTGCGATAATTACCTGGGAAATTTTATTCGCAGTTGGATGATACATTTATATAGGTTTCGAAGAAGAGACAGGTAGCGCGCTTCCATGATCTTGCATACCTGCTATAGACCTCTGAAAAGGGTTCTGAGGAGTGGGGCTGGACGGATCGAAATGATATGAAAAAAGAGCAAGTAAAAGAACGTAAAATTAGCGGCCGTTTATCTGAGTCAACAATCTTTCGAGCACCGACTTTTCTTTACATTTCATGAAGAACTGAATCTTTGTTTTAAAGATTAAAAGGACAGGTCAACGAACGTGAAACCTGAGAACGGTCAGAAAACTCAGTTTGACACTTAAATAAAGAGCAGCGTCTTCAATTTTTTATCATCTATTTCTTTACTCATTTAGCGATCTATCTATCTATTGGTGTTTTTTGTTTGTTTGTTTTGTTATTTATTTAGGTTAAAGTATTAACTCCTTCAGAAACACTTACTTCCACAATCTTCGATTCCTTTGGATGCATCAATTACAGTAGAAGTGCCATTTGGGCAGCTTATGCAGGCTTTGTTCCTTTCATCGGAAGAGTACGTACCAAAAGGACACCTGAAACACTTTGCTACACCAGTCGAGGAGTAGAAACCCGGACCACAATTATCTATAATCAGCCAAAAAGATTTAAAAATTAAACAACTTCCTTGTGAATGGTTTTAAATTCGAATTTAGGCGTGAGACAATTAAAGGCACCAGAGGTCCAAAATAACTAGGATGAAAGGAATCGCTTTTACGGTTTAGAGCAATTTTCAATTGAGTGTTGAAAGTAACCCAGGATTGAATTGGTTTTGCTTTACTGTGCTGTTTGATTGGTCTAGAAAACTCGCGCCACCATCTCAGCCAATCAGATGTAAACTAAAACCAATCGCTCCTTGGTCACTCGCGTTTTCCCGCGCTACAGGCCGGTTAGACGCGTTTACTTCGAGTTGCCATTGGCTCCCTCTTATAATTTCCTTTACTCTGATTGGCCGTTGTGATTACTTTGGTTTTGGTTTTCGACACTCAATTGAAAAGCGCTCTATTCTTAATGCAATCTTCTGGCACCCTCAACTCCTAAGAAATTTACCAGTAATCTTGCTTACTTCGGGCGGATTCAAAAATGACTGCTGAATTGGCAAATGCTGTTTTCTGGAAAAGATTCGTCGTACATGGATAAAACGAACAAGAAAGATGCCCTTAACTATTATTCAGAATTACCACCAGTAATCAATTTTAAAACTAGTAGTAATCACAGATTAATGGAGAGTTTTAGATTCTGAGACGAGGAAGACTATGGCGAGTACGAGATTTTCTCAATACTGAGTGAAACAGCGCGTGAACCAGCGGCTTTTTGGCGGGAAAACGTGATAACCGTCGTCATTCTACTAAGAGTTTCAGAGCAAATGTCAAAGTAGCGGAAACAAGTTATTAAATGTAAGAAGTGTTATCATTTTGCTGTCGGGTGAGGGTTTAACCTTCTTAAGTGCAAGTAACCGCACTAACTTTTTTGGTGAAAAAAAGTTAAACGAAGCTTTCTGGGGTGTCTTTTTTTTGAGAACACGCGCAAGTTAAATCTCGTACTCGAACTCGTTCTCGTCCTCAAATCTAAAGGTCTCTAATGAGTGCGTTCAGGTTTGAGTTTTCGTAGCTCTACATTAGCAATTATTCCTTCAAACACTATTTCAAAATGGGGAAAAGATCACGAAAATTTCTTTTACAAAGTAAACATTTTTTTTTCTTTATACTGTTCAATTTTTAACATGTCTCACTCTACTCCTCGTCAAACATGGTTGATAAAAATGTGAAGTAGATCATAAACAGGTCACTGCAAACTTCAAAAGCATGGTAGTCTCGAAGATTATAGTCCGGGCTTCTTGCGTGACACAACTTGAAGTGAAAACAATGATCATGGGAACACGGAGACTATGGGATATTGTTTCGGCACCATACAATGAAACGTGACAACAATAGTCCCATTGTTTTCTAACCCTTAAAACAATAGTCCGCAGTCAGTCCACAGTCTCTATTTTACTTTGCCCTGAAACATAATGGGTATTTGCTAGATTATAGATGTCAGCAAACCGAGCAAAGTCTTTTGCCATTTTGTGCGAATTGTTTAAATATCTCCATAATTTCAGTTCGTGTGACATAATCACTTAATATATGCGGGAAAAATGTCTTCACACGTACTTTATCCAAAAATGTTTTTCGCACAGGTGACAGGTAAAACTACTAACGCACGGATAAGTTTCTCACGGCATAAATGTTACCCGTTCTTTATTTGTGTATTTCTGCGAAGTTTCAGCTCGATTTGAAAGGCATATTAACTGAGAAAGGTGCAGCAGAATCGTCAGCCAGCTCAGTGATAAAACCCGCTTAGAAAACAACTCCAAAGATCATTCATTTGCCGAACCTAAACAAGAACGTTGTTTAAAAAGCGTTAAGTCTCGCTTTCTCGGAGATTCGGTAAGAAATAAGGAGGCGATTAATTCTAAACGAAACACAATTTCCCCGCTAAATGTTTTTCACTTCCTACTTTATCGACGGTGGAGTATTCTTCAGGATTTTTTGTCGCGGCGGACAGAAAATCCATACACTGACTCTTGTTTAAAACCTCTCTAAAACAGCCACCTCTTTACGACGGCCACTTTCTTCTGTCCCCAAGGAGGCTGTTTTAGAGAGGTTTAACTGTATATCGTATTCGACGATAATTGAGAACGAGTGTACAAATACACGAAAATCAATTCTTTCAAACACGTGACAAGGTGGCCATGTTGGTGGTCAATACAATAATGTAACGCAAAAATGTTTTCAACAGACAGTAAATCTAGCAGGTTTAATAATGGAAGAGCACTTTCAGTGTGTTTGCCATACATGTTGGCAAAAAAGATCAGACGCACAACATGATAATATGTCTGTGACTCATTTGCACTCTTCTGGGTAGTACTGAGATCATGTTTCAGGTTCTTTACGTCGGTGGTAAGGCTGAAATTCTCGTCATTCAAGCGACCAAGTTGAGTTAATACTTCGTCGTACTTTGCTGACGTATAATCCACTGAAGGTTTCAAGTCGATAAATTTCTTTTCCATTGACTAAAGGTTTGCTCGTATTAAGCCAAGTTCTGTTTCTAGTAGCTTTTTAATTTCTTCTAATGTTGCCATAAACGCTGATGTCTACACGGGGCAAGAATTTTTTCCAGTAATGGCGGAGCTATCAAAAACATATCAGGCCGCCATGACTGACGCCGTAGAAAAACCGGACCGTCCCGTTCCGGAAAAACACGACATCTTTCGCATCAATCTCTCCTTAGCTTTCTTCACAAAATAAAGCATGGCGTTGTGAACTAGGAACGCCTGGGATCATGACACCCTTTTGGCGCACACGCACGAAAAAAAAAAAAAAAGAATCGCTTGCATTTCCTGAGTCTCGCAGCTAAAGCAAGCGAGACTAATAACACCGTGATTTTTACATTGTTAATTGTTGACCTTGATAGCACCAGGGTTATGCATGTGATTGCCATTTATTTTGCGTTTTTGACGTAAATAACGCGAGCTAAATTATTCAGAATGGCGCAGAAAATGCAGACGTAAGACGACAACCGCTTGCTGAAAGTAGCATAGGATACCCAAGTACCACAGGAATTCCAAGATAATGTGTTAATTGAGTTTCTGTGCCGCTGGGAATGAAGCTGGTTAAGACCCCTGTGTGGATCAGGCTGTCATATAGAACTGAGGCATGGACTCTTAAAGAGAGTGATGAAAGAAAGATCCAGCCATAAGAAAAGTGGCTCTGGAGAGGAATACTTCGTGTCAGCTAGCTTGAGAAACCAACTGACATTTCGCGACGCCACCACTGGTTTCCCCAAGAAATGAAGCCTGAAGAAGGAGCGCCGAAATTCCATACTTATGACGTGTCGCTCGCGGCATGACTAATCAGAAGCACTATCCAGATCTGGGCATTCGCCAGTGATCGGTATGGAATTTCTCTGTTCAGACATGCCCGGCTTTTAAACCATCAAAGACCATATGATTTTGAACATTGGATAAAATCGTTCAAACCGATCAACTAATGTAGCAAGCTATCTAGCTAGCTGCGTAGCTATACGGCCAACCGACTAACAACCCAACCACGTTAGCGCCCAACGAACTCTAATTCACCACAGTAATAATATTACAGCTTGGATTCATAATAGAACTACTTAAATAAATATATATTAGCTCGCTTATTGCTAATAACCTGTACAAGACGTGAAATTTTCTTGTCTTGTCCCTACCGTCCAGGTCCCATCTGGACATGTTTTACACTGTAAGGCGCCTTCACTTGGACTGTACGTTCCCTCCGGACACAAAAGACAATCATCTTCGTCCCTATCGTAATACTTTCCTATAGGACAGTGCGCTACAAGGAAAAACAAAAAAAAAGTTTGTCCATTTTATGTAGCCTGCTAAAATGGCGCCAAGGAGTTACTAATAACTCTCAGTTATTTCATCTCGTTTGCAAAAAAATGAACGCCTTGAGTAATCTTGATACATAGTACCAAACGAAACACTAGATAAAACACCACCAGGTTCCCTTCTAATAAGAAACCTGTTTTTCATCTGAGATCAAACACATGCACTATTGATTAACACAACTCATGGAAGCAACGCAATACCACAGAAAATATGTCACTGCATGCTTCGTGCTTCCCTACAGGTACCAAACACCTCAAAAAAGTTGAAAGCACTCAGCCCACTGCCCGTGCTTTCATCTGTTTCTCGGTGTCTGGAACCCTTGATGAAGCACTCGCCGTCGTTTTTGACATTTTACTTGAAGGACAACTTCATTCCAGAAAGGAGACTGCTTAAACTGCTTAATTAACCTTTACGCTCAAGTTAAAGATTAAGAGGGGGGCACTTTCAACGAAGCTGTACGAGCACTAGAAAAGAGTTTTAAAAAATCACAGACAGCTCGACGCGGAGCGTTCGTTTACCATTTTCCGCATTAAACTTACTGCATTTAGTGATTGTTCCTGTCGTCTTAGTGCACTGAGAATCAGCCTTTTCACATTTTCTGACCACAGCACCATCTGCTGAACAATACGCCTCAACCTCACCAAGGTTAAAGTTGTCAACATTTTTATCTTTCAACTCAAGTCCTGAAGACGCCTGAAATTCACCCCAATTCACAGTCTTAAGGCTGTTGTAAATGTCGGTTCTTGTCTGGTTGGCCTTTTCTTTCTCCGAGTTGTAAGCATCCTGGCCAGCCTGATCATTGGTTCCTGAGGTGAGACTCGTGTTTTGGAAGACGTAATCATACCTGATGGTAACCTTGTAATTGATAGATGAGACAAATGAGTAGTCATGCTTCAGCATTTTGGGCCCCTTTGGTGCGTTCCCTTTGCCTTCCGTGTGCGTTCCCTTTATTAATATGCATAAAGGTCGAGTGAATGACGTCACCTGTTGTTATAACCTAGAGAAAAAGTGCGTTCCTCCATACTAATTAAGTGCCTTCGTCCATATATAATGGAGTGGATAGGTTTACTAATGAGCGAATACTACAATAGGCACAATAGGCTTGTCCGTTAAGTAACTTGAGCCCGGTTTTCGGACCGTCTATTAAAAGGAAAATAGGAGCAATCACCTAGCAACGCGAGAAACGGCTTCCTATATCTTACTTAGCGCTAAAGCTCGGATATATAAACAAAACGCGCCGTTAGTCAGGTAATTATGCGAGTTCCCAAGCCCACCGTTGCATATAAATTATAATTAGCTCTGCAGTAAAAACTTCGAGGAAGCATCTTGACGTATTATTATAAAAAGACAAACAAAAAAAAAACAATTAAGAAGGACCACTTGAAACACGCGGAGGGAAAATAATAAAAATGTGGAGGAGGGATTTTGACCTCTTTTTTTGGCCTTTTTCGAGGCAAAACAATAGAAATGAGGAGGAGGTGGAGGAGGAGGGAAAATAATAAAATTGTGGAGAAGGAGGAGGGAAATAAAAATGAAAAGGGAGAGGGGTAAGTAAAACATTGTGCGCAGTGTTAAAAAAAGGATGGCTTGCCTTCTTTGAGTATTTTAATCGAATTTTTAATGTAATCTTTTTGCAATTATTTTAGTAAAGGGTCATAAAGTTGATTTCTTGTGTCTTAAGAAACGTGTCTGGTTTTATTGCTTGCTATTATTAGTCGCGTGTTTCAATTGATCCTTGTTAAGTTATTAATTTCTTTTTTGTGTGTGTGTTTTTATAATAATACGTCAAGATGCTCCATCAATCATTGTCTTCTCCTGCTTCTAGCAAACGTTTTACAAATTGACTTTTCCCACAGCACGTAGGGCCAGCGATAAGAGCGGGAAAGGGATGTCCCTTCTCGGATCCATGTGCACAACTGACTATCTCAACTGCATGCACTCTCGTTTATAGAAAAAAATTGTTTTGGGTTCAGCCTCCTTGTCACAAACACGAATCGAATTGGTATTTTGTAATTTTGCAAATTGAAACCAATATTTTCATTCTATCTCCGATAACTCGTGTACTTGAGTTAAATGATTTGCTCATCGAACTAAAAATTTAGAATGACATCCCGGTGCGGGGCAAAGACGACAGACACGCTTACCCATGATGTTAACTGTACGAAAGTTAGATAACCACTGAATAAAACCGCTAATGACACGAAGTTTATGACTATTGAGAACGGGCCACAGGGACCACAAGGGCCACAGGGGCCTTGTTTAGCACTGTGTTTTTTTTCTTTACCCGGGTGATTGAATCTTAGGTGGCTAGACAGACAACAAGCCATGTTTAGCATATCAAACCATATTTATTTACAAACTAATACATAGATTTAGCCAGGGCTAAAAGCGAAGCTCCAATTAATAAATTTATTCATTTAGATCAAACAATAAACCAGTATTCCACAAATCAGTTAACTTTAGAGCACATTCATGTGACTTTTAGGGCAAAGGCTACGTGATTTTAGAGAAAAATAATTTGCAAACAGTCCAAGAGTGAAGTCAACCAAATCTTACATCGAGTTGATAGCCTTATATGTACAACCAAAAAATAGCAATCATCTTCGATCACATTTAAAAGCCATAATGGCTGTTGATCACAGTAGATTAGGCCTGGAAAACAAATTCTTGGAAAAAAAATCAGGCCGAATTTTTGGCGTTCGACAAGTTTTAACTTTACAAAATCTTGCCAACAAATCTGGGGGCGTGTAAACCAACCTTTTTACACTTTTTGTACATCACATCTGAGGTGAAACAGTACTATGAGGCACTGTTTTTATCATACAGACCTCGGACAGAATGCGGTAGTTCACAATTTTACAATACAAATTGCACTCATTTAATATTCAGGACGATCGAAGCACGCGTGAGTTTTTATCGAAACTTTTAGAAATTTCCAAAATCACCTATACGGCCAGCCGGTTCTCAGTTTTGACTAGCGTCAAATTTGCAGTGAGAGCTGAGTGTTTGAATGAACATTAATACAGTTACGCTTCAACACAATAAAGAACTTATGTTTATTTTTTATTTAATGGTTTTAGAACGATGTATAATCTTCAAAAGCCTTGATACGCGCGGCATTTTGAGTACTCCTACAAGCGATGTTCATAAACGGCTAAAAACAAACAGCACAACGATTAAAATTGCGAGAGACTACTAACAATCATTATTATTCATTCAAAATATTTCCCCGATTCTGACTGGCTAAAAGCACACGTTTAATTCACCATAACCAGTTACCGTCTGATGACCAAATTTGGAAGAATTTTGTGTTTAGCGAGGAAATGACGTCAAAAATGCGGCGTTCTTGCAGGTTAATGCACCGTTAACCGAGAAGACCTGGTTATTTGTTTTGGTTGTGAACTAGAAAAATGGCGGACATTTCACTCGTTTCAAGACTAAGGCAAGCCTATGGTGCCTATTGTATTAGAGAGACGCTCATTAGTAAACCAGTCCACTTCATTATATATGGAGGAACGCATTTTTTCCCGGTGAGGGTAAAAGGCGGAATGAGTTTGCGGAATGGCATGTGGCATGGCTTGCGGAATGACATAATTATGCGGAATTCAATTCATGGAAAATGGTGCAAAGAAATAAATTTAACAGGAAAGCATGCGTGCGTCATTGCCTCGCCTTTTTTGGCGCCAATTTGAAGGAGCAACCGCTTTGCCGGTCCATTTATTACTGCTTTTAAAGCAAGGGTCAAATTGAAACACAGCTGATACACCAAATAGGGTCACTCTTTATCGTAACGCTAGAGGGTAAAAAACGCTCACTGAAAGTGACGTCGGGCTAGCTACAATTCTAGGGATTTTTAATACCGTGAATGAATCAGATCATATTCCAGACTAAATTAACGCCTCGAGTCAAACGTTAATCCGTAATCCACAAATCGAGTGAAGGGGTGAACTGCTCTCTGTCTCCTTTCGGCCTTTCCGCGTCTCTTCGCACCTTTGTTTGATTTATTATTGGTGTGAGTGTGTGCATTTGATCGAGAACTAGCCAATCATTAAGATGTATTTTTTTAACAGCTGGAGTGTTGCCGAATCGGCTTTACTAACTTAATTAATAAAGGTAAAGGTAAAGGAGAAAAAAATTCTAAAAGTAGGAAGGTAAAGAAAAAGCACAAAAACTCGATTGCCAGGATTCAAGCTCGCTCTTCTTCCCCAGCTGTTAGCTTCGCGTGCCTGAAACTTTACCACGCAGCCAAGGAATAAAAATGCAAGATATGTTCGATCTCTCAATATTATGTCACGATCAATCACGCGACCCTCCGTCTTAAAAGAAACACTTCTCGCGTGGTTTCAAATGGAAATAACGGTAAACAAAAGTGACGTTGTAATATCTTTTGCAGAAAGAATTTTAAGGCAGAAGAGAGTGTGACCTTCCGAAATATCTTTTCTTCAATGGCCGACTCTCGTGATGTAGTATCGGTGCTGCCAGCAGCCCAACTAATAAAGGCAAGTAGAATCTTTGTGGCTCTGCAAAAAGCTAATCGACCGTGAAAAATCAGGGAGTCGTTCCTGGCGTTTTGATTGTTACCGTAGTCAAGCCCGCAACATTAAAAAAGGGGCTGCTTGTGAATTAATTGGCGCCAAAAAGGGCGCAATTTTCAGCTTAATTTATTTCTTTAAGTCATTCTAATATATTACAGTCCGCATAATTATGTCATTCCGCAAGCCATGCCACATGCCATTCCGCAAACTCATTCCGCCTTTTACCGCGTTATAACAATGGGTGACGTCATGGACTCGACCCTCATGCATATTAATAAAGGGAACGCACACGGAACGCAAAAGGAACGCACCAACGGGGCTTATCTCCCAACATAGTAGACTACTGATAGGTGACGTCATGGGCTCTACCCTTATGAGCATTAACAAATGGAACGAGCACGGAACGCAGAGGGAACGCACCAAAGGGGCCCAAAATGCTGAGACATGACTACTCAAATGAGTATAAGACAATTTATAAAAGAGTAAACACCACACTTCTTCCATGTTTCCTACTAAGGGAGACCTGACGATGAAGATGAAACATGGCCCTCAAAAGTTTAAGAGGATAAGAGTTCTATTGAAAAAAAAAAAGAAAGAAATGATTATCTAGTCAGCGGCGTGCGAGCAAAATGGCCGCGCTTTTTGTCACTCTAGTTGATTCAGCAATTTTACGTAAATTTTCGACGAAACCTTAGTATTTCTTACAATGCGTTAGTTACTGAGGCAACATTTGTCGACCTAGATGTGCCCCTATCCTTTTCATTCTTTGTCCTTTTCTTCTTTTGTGACAAACTTATTTAAAGGTTATGATCTTAACTGCTTTCTATCACGTACTGAAAACTTTCTACGACTCAACTCTGTGATTTATCTTGAACTATTTATGATGGAAGCGGAAAAATAAATGAAATGAAAAAAAAAAACGTTAAAAATTGTCTTTCAATAAAGTCTCGTCCATAGCAGAAAGTGGAAGGTGATGAATTCAACACGGTCCTATCATTTCTTGTAGTGTTACGATATCAAGAAGAAAGAGTGCATTAAATAAAATACTTGTGATAAACAAGCAATAATTTTGAAGCAAAAGTTAAAAATAAAGCTTTTAGCTCCTCTCAGCCTGTCTCAACAACGTAGGTTGAGAAGCAGTGACAAACAGATTGACCAGTTTTGGGGACTTTGAATTTAGATTCTCAGGAGCAAGGCCATTGAGGGATTTGAAGACCATGAATGCTTTTTGAAAGTCATGTGATTTTTCCAGTTTAGGCTTTCAACTGGTTGCGATGTTTCAGCAACATAAATTGAGCTTAAGCAACCAGGAAGGCGAAGGCAGCAAAACAAGTCAGTTGTAAATAGCATTCAAGTTCTTCTAAAAAAACTACGGCATTTATTTCAACTGCACTATGGTTACATTGGTCAAATGTACGCATTTCCCTGGAGTTGAATTTTTAGAGAGCACATAAAAAACAGAAAGAAAGAAGTATCTGTCCCTTACTATTTACGTCTTCCATTAGACGCCAGATAGGAAAGGTTCACGTCGTAGCCGTGTAGTGACGGCGACAAAATGTACAAAAAAAGGTAATCCACCGCAGAGTTGGAGCGATTTTCATATGACCTTGAAAAATGGTTTCGGTCAGTGTTCCTTATTTGTTTTATCAGCCAATGGATGAAAAGATCAAAACATGGCCTCTTCGTTTTCCCGCCAAAGATCCTAAACATGGAGAAGACATTCTTCGATTGGCCAATAGTGTTGCAGTGTGACGTCAAAGCGAAGTATCGGTTGTTTTCTAGAAAGTTATCGGGCATTCGCTTAGTTTGTATCCGTTCGATAAACCAATAAAAAACTCTATTTCATTTTGTTTCGTATTCTTCTATGTTTTCATTTCAAGGTCAAATGTAATCTTTCCATTTTTTGGTTCGTTTGACCTTTTTTAACATGTTGCCGTCGCCGTTGTGGTTTATTTATACCGTATGTTTTCGTGATTCCAGTATAACGAAACCTATCCTGAAATTTAGAGATCATCCTACTGTCACAGAAATCGCGCCGAAGAACCTTTCTTGTGGAAAATTTTTCGTGGCAACGCAAAAGGTATCCGGAAAAGCGTGATCATAGCCTTAGACTCCCTCATTTTGTAGTCAAAGCATCGATTCTCAACAATACAAAATTAATGTTTTTTTGAACATGTTGAAACAAGGTTAAGATTATTTGGTCGTGACTAAACGAAAAGGAAATCATCATCCTACTTGTAAAAGGAAAATTTAGTAGGCGTATAAGACGATAAATCTCTAATCGGGAGCTTTATAAGTTATGAAGTAGCTGATTCTTGTTTTGTTTGGAACGATTCGTATTTTTACGGTTTTTCTTATGTATAGAGTGATTATTTTGTAGTTCGTGCTAGTTTCCTCAGAAACAGCTCATAGTCCAAGGAAATTCAATGTCAGTTTTTATTAGTATCGTCTTAAATGTAGTTCTTTGAAGTAGGCATGTTCGCGGATAACTGGCTTGAGTTTTACCTTCACTGAAGATCCTGTTTTGAATGCTTGGTCCTACCTAGCAGTTTTACCGCTAGCATTTAATTCGTTCTTTGGTACTAGTCAATTACAACAGTGTAGACTGTTCTATTCTCCAAAAGTTAAGCCACAGGATATGCAATGGAAAGTTCTCACGGTGAGCTAACCCAAACGCGTCTACTATTCGATTATTCAATTCGCTGGTGATGGGCTTGGTAATAGAATTGTTGTAGCTGAAGAAGATAGTAGTTGGAAGCTGAGGAGAATAAAGTGCTATGGAAGAACAAAGTGTTTGTTCCTCTCCTTAATTAGCCGAGCGAGTATTCAATTTCCTTACAACCCCAACAATAGGAAGATCAGAGGCTACGGTGCGGTAGATGCGATCAAATACCGACGTAAAAGATAGCTCAGGTCTAGTTCAGACTTCGCGTTTCTACTGTGCCGAACTCAATTGAAATTGGGTTCAACAGAGGCAAGACTTCGATTCGGACATCCTGCCAGAGAAAACATTAGGTTGATTTAGCAACAGAACGGGAACGTCAGTTGACGACGGGAAAACGCGCGGAAAGCACTGAAGGTGACTTCCGGTGCCCAATTTGCCGCTCTGCCATTGGTCAAGCCAGTTGTTTGATTTGCGCGCGCCGTCGTCAACTGACTTTCCAATTCTGTTGGTAAATAAACCTATATTTTAAACGTAGTATCATGTCAGTGGCAAGTAAAAACAAGGAAATATTTCCTAAAAAACATTTCCGAAATTTATGAATTTAGTTCGACATGGCGTAAGCACGACGTTTGAATCACTGCCGTGCCGGGGTCGTCTTGACTTTGTCGAAATTAACTGCTCTGCCGAACCAAACTTTGATTCAGACAAAAAAAGAAGAGAAAGTAATAACGTAGTGATATGGTGATAAAAACTGGTGTATTAACCTGCATGGTCGTAGACCTCTTTCGCCTTCTCTCCGCAGCAGTGACATTTCCGCAGTAAACTTTTATAGTGTTCTCGTTGCACAAGGTCGGGTTAGAGCAAAATACAGGTAAAACTCTACCACTTCTCAATATGCTGATAAAGTTTCCCTTAATTGCTGTCTGCTGGTTAGGATCATTGCAGTCTCCTTCATAATAGAAATACGGAAAACTGGACATCGTGAGAGCATCAGGGTTCTCCGTTTCTGTTACGAAGAAACGTAAAAAAAAGTGTATTATTACATGTAACAGTCAGTGCTGGAAAGCTTTAACAGAATGACGTAGATGTAGCAGCCTTTTGTCACCAAACCATAGAAAAACCGGTGAAAACTACTGTGTCAAATGTAGGCGAACTTTTCAGTCGCCAGTCCACTGGGATAGCGTTAACCACTGGATAAATCTCCATCCACTGGATAACGCAATTGGTTTCCGTAATACTTATCCACTGAATAGTGGTTTATCAGGCGAATGGCGCTATCCATCTATTGAACAAAGAGGACCTGGAGTTGAATTCAATATCCAAGTTCAAAAGACAGTTCAGAAAGAGAAAGAATATTTTTTGTCGCTTGTTTACATCCTACCTAGAAAGAGAATGTGGGCAATCTCACGTCGTAGTCGTACAGAGATGGCAAAAAAAGGTACAGAAAAAGTGTGCTGCAAGTGCAGAGATGTTGTTTTATTGCTTTGTAGACGGGGGGTCTGACCTACATGAAGTTGATGGTAAATTTTCTACCGAAATGAAGATAAAGACTTGGCTGAATGCAGCTATGCGAAGAAGGAGTTTGGCCTTGACAGATTTCGCAGGAGATCTAGTCTTATCTCGTTTGAATCTAAGTTGTAAACTTCACTTCCGCAATCACACTGTCTCTTTCGACTAAATCTCGAAATCTCTCGCCTCATGACTCCTTTTCCTGACCTATTGTTCTTTACAAACATTTTTAGTGTGCTTGTCGCAGGTGTTGATCGATTTCTACGCCAAGAACTGTCCTGTGGTAATCTTATGGTTTAACTATTAGGCACGGTTGAGAATGGGAGCCAAGGATCATTGAATCCTCTTATAGTAGTTTTTAGCCTGATCTGTAATTTTGTTGTTACTGTTTTTGCTATTTTCACTTTTCCCCCTCTTCTTTTCCAGACTAATGAGCTTAGAGCGACAAAATGAGCTTTCGCCTTTCACATTTCATTTTCAAGTTATGGAACGCAAATTAACCAAACGTACCAGGAGCGAGAAAAGACTTAGCCAAAAAATAAACTTGTTTATAACATTCCATTTCCCTTATCTCATAATGCACTTACTTGCACAGTCTGGCCATGGTAATTCGCGAGAGAAATTAAGACCAAAGGATTGGAACTGCCATTCTCCCTTATCGCAAAAGTACAAAAACGGAGGAGTGGAGACAAAGTCATACCCACTTTGACATTGAATACTACAATATTCCTGCGATAAAATGGTGTTGCAAGTCAGGGCGCCATTCTTGGGTGCTGCGTAACGTGGACACTGTTTAACTGCAAAATAGGATCAGTTTTAGTGTAACCATGGTTGGCCCACAGGCACGCCAGCTCAAGCTCATCCCCAGAGATTCTACTGATGAACTGATTTGATTATTTGAAAATTGAATCAGTTAGTCAATAACAATAACAATAATAACATTACACTTTATTTAAAGAGGGCAGCACAGAATAGTTAGAGGAACTAGTAAACTTGTGGCCCTCTATCTAAATTAGATAAGATTCCGAATATAAGTACAAAATAAATATAACTAAGGAAATGTAGAAGTTCTGCATCAATATAAATGAGTATGACAAATGAAAAAGAGAATCTCACGTTAGCAACGACTAACAGATTCAGTTTTCAAATAACGATTTCATTACTAGAAACTACCGGGGTAGTCTTGGCCCGGCTTGCACGAGTGTTAGAGTGGTGTAATAAATGTTCAGAGATGCCGTGGGCAGGTAAAAGAGACATTACAACCCTTAGGATCGGTTTTTCGGCATTTCCCGCAAACCACGAACGTCAAGAGGTCACGTGACCTTGCCGTCGAGTTCACTTTTGTACGGCTAGGCTATGCTCTAGAGTTAGATAACTTTCCGCACGATTTTATTTCACTCTAAAACAATCACAATCCCACGTTCGAGAGGAAATACTACTTTTTAGAATACTTTCGCTTATTAATTATCGAATTCTTTTTTTCAGAGAAACGTAATCTTGAAGACAATTTTTCAGCTAAAACAGAAGTGAGTGGATGAATGAAAACGAAGATGGCAGCCGCCGCGAGCTACTACTTGCGATTATGTGGGCAAACGAGTAACGTGAAACCCCTAACCGCAAACCGCGGTTAGCCGTTTGCAACAAGATGGCCAAACCTCGATCCTAAGGTCTCTATTGTAAACAAACGTTTACTTCAGTTGCATAAAATACATTTTTTGATTATTTCTGCCATGTGAGGGAAGGAGGTAAGGTGAATGGTACGTAGTTCCCCTTTTTTCTAAACGAGCAGGGGTCCAAGTACGAACGACAAATATCGACTGAATCGAAAAAGTAGCCTGTCACTGGAACGAGAATTCATTTGCAGCTGATGGGACAGGTGTCTCTCTCGTCCATACACAGCTTTCTCAAACTAGAGACTTGTACAAGTGTATTACGTCGTTGTGTTTAAGCATACTGTGGTTTAAGCCAAAACTCTAAAATTAAGAAAATGACTAACGTTTAATAACCTTTTCCGCAGACAGGCTTAATTGATATTACGCATTCTTATCCAGTCCCCTACTCGTTTATAAAATTACTGATACGTTTCCGTTTGAACATAGACCTGTGCAAAAGCGGGAAGGGGTTTGAAATTATATCTGGGTGGACATTTGATTTAAGGAATAGGCCACTGCTAAAAAGTAAGCATGGCTGTTGTAATGTCCTTTGCTTTTTACAGGGACTGTACGTGCTGCGCGTGAACGTCTCGAAAACGTGCATACTAAAGCTCACAAGCCTGCTTCCCATATGAATAAGAATTTATCTTGAAGAATTCCTTAATCATAGCAAAAAAAGGAACGTTGTAGAGACAGCTACCTATGCATCCTATGAATGCCATTGTACCGTTCAAACAAAGAGAAATGAATAATTACGCTCCTGCCAGTTTAAGCCTGCACAATTTAGAGTATTATAGTATTGATTTGAAATGGCCTATCGGTGGAGAAACGAAAAAAAATTTTAGCAACAAGAGAAAACATCTTGGACAAAGGTGAGAACCAACAACAAACTCAATCCACATATGGCGCCGCTTTTGGGATTCGAACCTGGGTAACATTTTTGGGAGGTACGCGCTCGCATCACTAAGCCAACCTT